ATGAAACAATACTTAGTTAGGCCTAGGAAAATAATGTTTTGTTTCCTGTTTCTTGACCGACCCTAGAAAAACTGCAGACCCTAGCCCTTTTGTGCGCCTAGGACATCATTTTTTTTTAGCTGATTGTCCTTTTCTGACACCGGAGTGATCAAACGTTGCACGATCAGTTTTCCAGCATTGACATAAAAAATGTAGGTGTCCTCATGGAAGTTTTACTTTGTTTGAAAGTCACTGTAATTTGTATAAGTTGAATCATTAGAGATTGATCTGATTTTTAAAAAAAATAAAGAAAAAAAAAGATAATCCTTACCTACTGACCCTAATTCGTTTCAGGACTGAAACAGGAAACACAACCGTTACATTTTTTCCTAGACACAGACGGATGATAAAATATCCTTTCGCTTCGAGATTTAGAAACATTTTAGGGGCTAGAAAGGTTTCCATTAATACATTAGAGTAACACGCAGCTAACATATGACTCTAGAGCATTTTCTCACCTGTATGTGTATAGTTTTGTACATGAACTCTTCCCTTCACTCAGTGTCTTCAAGTTAACTGGCTTCAGTTGCTGATCCCTCAGCAGGTTGAGATCTGGTTTGGACAGAAGCCATCCCTCATTACCCTTTTGGGAAAGCTGACCCCAGGATGCACCTATAATGACACGAAATAATTATATCAGTGTGCTGCAAAGACATCGCAAGGCAACAGTAAATGACTCACTAAGTTTATAATTTGCTAATAGATTTAACATGGGGATAAAGTAATGTGGGGTCATGTAGCGTAGCGGCAGAGTGCTTGACTCAAAACCAGGAGGTCCCGGGTTCGAGTCCTGACATGCCACCGATCTTGTACCCTTGGGAAAAGCACTTTACACGATTTTCCTCACTTCACTCAGGTGAAAATGAGCATTGTATTGTCCCCTGTATTGGTGATGGCATTAATATAAGTTGTGATTACATGTTGGAATAAAAAAAGGGGAAGTTGTGAAGAGCTACGATACCCGACATGTCATTTTACTGCTTTTCTGAGACCTCCTTTGGTTTGGACAGAAGTAACCCGTCATCACAGGTTTCACCCAGTCAGGACAGGACCGTCAGGATACCTAACAAAATGAAAGAACAATGATTGTAAGAATAGGCAACAAGGTATAAACATATGACCTTTTACATGTACTTTGTCTCTTTCTAGAAATGGTGATGATTGCACAGCATACCTGAGTACCGGTATGTATAATGTAAGATAAAGCCTCTAGCCTTGTGTGTTACTAATCCAGCAAGTACAAAACCTAGAATGTAAAGAAAAGAACCTACTACAGAGTGTCATGTACATGTATTTGTTTTATTATATATATTACATGTATGCCTTGTAAAGTATTTTCTCACCTTTTGATGTTGATATCTTGCTCTTGGGTCTTCAGATCGCCAGGTCTTGTCAGCAATACATTTGTAGACTGTACTCATCACTACTGCATCAGTCAGCAGCCACCTACTATATAACAGTAGAAGTTACAAACTTGTTTCAACTACTGCCATGGAATTGGAGAAGGAAAATAAAAATCGTTTTTGCTTACCTTGTATTCCTCTTGAGTCTTCAAATCATCTGGTCTTGTCAGGTTCAGACATTTTCATGCACATTTAAGACATCACTTTGCATCAGTCAGCAGCCACCTAAATACATACTAGATATCGGAAGTTACATGCCTGTCTCAAATAACACCAAAGAAATAGTAGATATAATTCAGAATTCTGACCTTTCTCACCTGATATTCTACTTGAGTCTTCAAGTCACCAGGTCTGGTCTAAACTGGTTTTGTCAGGTTCAGACAGGAGTTGTCATGATCAGCAGCCGCCTAATTATATAGACATCGAAAGTTACAAACTTGTCTCAAAAAACATCAAGGAAATGTTAAGTAAAATGGTAAGTATTCACATTTTCCTCACCTAGCCTGATACTCTTGTATCCTATCACCTGGTGTAGTAGTTATCACAAGTCCAACTTTGTCAGCTAGCTGGTCCTCAGAACACAAACAACTACATCACTCTATGAAAAGAAGAAATAGTTACAAGATTAAACTAATCAGCCTGTCTGATATATGTCTGATATATAATTGTAAAATCTGGATAAGAACAGTGTGAAAATTGAAACTTGGAGGACAGGGGACCTTTATCCATGCAGGTGATATGGTCTAGGCCAGATTTGGAACGTCTCAGTTTGACAATCAAATTATATAAATTGTCCAGGCTACTGGATCACCTCCAGTGTTACAAACATGAATTAACGATAAGGCCACACCAATCTAATTTGTTTTTTTTTTCTCTGATTTTTTTCAGAAAAATTATGAAGCAACAGGGCGAAAAAAAATAAAAACAGACCTAGGCATCCTAGGGTAATGTTATTTTAGGAGTAATGAAGTCAACATACATTTGTACCAGGCCGGTTTGCAATTCAAACAATGAATTTCATACGTTTAATCAACCCAGTGCATTGATAGATGGAAAAACTGTAGGAACTAAAGGAAGAAAAGGACTTTCCTCAACTGTTGGGGGCAAAATATGAGCATTTTTTAGTTGATTCAGAACCAAGATCAGAAAAAAATGGACAGGGAAAATCTGAAAAACAACAAATTAAATCGGTGTGGCCTAATAAGGAAAGCAACTGTACAGTAAACACCCCGGCGCAAGTCACTAAGGCTCAATGATACTAGTACAATAATAATGACAAATTGAAAAGGGAGGAGAAAAAGCAAATGGAGTAGATGAAACTTTGAGGTACATTATATTGACATGTTCTGCGGAGAAATATACACAAAAAACAACAATGATTGAAGAAAGAACGTGTGATAAACTAGAGTGAAGTTTAAAAAACTCTTTTGTGCCTAATTTCCATCGGTACCTTGAAAATTGATTCTTAGAGGACCCAGTCTTGTTAAAATACCCAAGATTTTGGCGGGAGTACCAAGATAATTTAATCATGCACACGTGCACATTCTATCAGGTGTTCTTTTTTTAACCAAGTGGAGGTAAAAAGAAAGCAGTTTTTTGTTATAGAGCATCATTTTTTCAATGGACATGGACTCAAAACGTCCTATAATTGGCAAACACTGAATACATTTCAATACTCTAAGAGCACACACACGAAAAATGTTCCAGAAAACGAGGCAAAATGGACTCGATGCAAAGCCAGTTCCTTGAATTTGGAATTGCCACTCAGAACTAACACACCTACACTATTTTATTATGGAATATAAAATGGCATGTTCTCACTAGTTACTAAGGGATTAAGTCAGAGAAAGAGTAAGTTGGTTTACCTGTAAGAACATGAGAGGTCGTCTCCGAACCACGCCACTTCTCCCATGCCCAACTGCACATCGCCATTTTGTTCTCTTCTCCAAAATTCGCCAGGTCAGGAAATCCACATTTTCTCCTCAAAACATCGCAAGAACGACACAAATCCACCACAAAAAGTTCCCAACATTCTGATGCACACGTTGGGAAGACATTCTACCGACAAAAACTCGAAGAAGTACCCAAAAAGTTGCAAAAAATCTCGGAGAGAATTTCCGACATACGAAAGAACGGCCATCTTGGACGGACTGTACCAAACGTGGCTTTTAACACAGGTGTTCAAAATGGCCGTCTAATTAATATGACGCTAATCTAATTAGGAAAACAACTTCAATTCTATAAAAAATAAATTCGAAGGGTTTTAAATGACTTAGAAATACAGCTAAATGGTGACTATAACAACATTTCTGTTACTGACAAAGTTTTAGTGTTACTGACAAAGTTTTAACGAATAAACTTCTGTACAGTAGGACGATACCACGAAGCTTACAAATCAGCATTCCATCATTTTTGCGGAGACTTTCGGGCTGTAGAAAGCGAGGGAAATGAGGTTTCGAGGAGGGGATGTTTCAGCTTCATGATTAAAAACAATTCTCCTGTACATTAGTAATACATTGGAGGGGCATATAAGCTGTGTCATCCATTCGCAATGGACAAATTTACATTCTACGCACAGGCAACAGTACCTGTCCTTGGTGCTGAACGCCATCCACACACGGGCAAACATGCCTGTCCTTGGTGCTGAACGCCTTCCACACACAGGCAAGCATGCCTGTCCTTGGTGCTGAACGCCATCCACACACGGGCAAACATACCTGTCCTTGGTGCTGAACGCCATCCACAAACAGGCAAGCATGCCTATCCTTGGTGCTGAACGCCATCCACACACGGGCAAACATACCTGTCCTTGGTGCTGAACGCCATCCACACACAGGCAAGAATACCTGTCCTTGGTGCTGAACGCCATCCACACACAGGCAAACATGCCTGTCCTTAGTGCTGAACGCCATCCACACACACACAAACATACCTGTCCCTGGTGCTGAATACCATCCACACACAAGCAAACATACCTGTCCTTGGTTCTGGACGCAATCCACACACTAACATACCTGTCCTTGGTCCTGAGCGCCATCCACACACAAACATACCTGTCCTTGGTGCTGAACGCCATCCACACACAAACATGCCTGTCCTTTGTGCTCAACACTATCCACACACATAAACACTATCGTCCTTTATTCCTAAACTTATAATATAATTTTTTATTGTCAAACGTCATTGTGTGTTGATTCTTTCATCATATTACATATCAACAAGAGTTTTGACCTGTGTTTTGTAGCTTTTTTTCTTGGTGACACAAAAATATAGAAATACCAGCTATAGGCTTAACATCCTTACGTTTTAGAAGGTTGGAGAATATTCTTGACATATTGTAAGGAACAGGTACGTTTCGCATCACTGGGCATTCACACTAAATTGCAATATTCCATCAACAAAATTGCAATCACCGAACAATGCATTGGGGGTATTAGATGGGCTTGTCCGCTTCATAAAATATGCAACACCGTCAGATAATGAGGTGTTGTCACGCCTACATTTACCGTTGAGCATTCCGTGGTGCCACACGACTTCTAGTCAGAAGGAAAATCTACCATGGCGTCTCGACCTGCCCTTGCGTTTTCGAGCCAAAATCACCTCTGTAAACTCTGCTCCAAGGTTTTTGACCACCCCAAGGTGTTGCCGTGTCTTCACACATTTTGCCGGGGCTGTCTGGAGAACTTACCGGCAAGCGGTGGGTCGTTGACGTGCCCGACTTGTGGCCAGGACACCCCTCTCACACAAGATGGCGTCCAGGGCTTACGAGACAACACCCTCGCGGCAAAACTGCATCCACAGAAGGACCCCAACGCCAAAGTAGTGAGAGCTAGTTGTACCGACTGTGAGTCAAACGGAAAGGACGCCGCTTTTTATTGCTTTCAGTGCATGAAGTATCTCTGTGTAGACTGTGAGGAAGTTCATAGGAAGGAAGACGCTTCGCAACGACATGAACTTTGGATAGCAGACAGCCCGTCAGAAAAACCCAAGATGGTTGCCGCCCAGAGCTCGGACGAGGTTCCAAAGTGTAGAGAGCATGACCAAGTAAGCGTCTTGTACTGTAACACTTGCCGTGAGGTGCTTTGCCCACACTGCGTTGTCAAGACCCACAAATTGCACGATTTCGTCGAGATAACAGAAGCCAGGGAGACAGAATTGAAGCGGATTGAGAGAGGGATAGAAGAGGCACAGTTCTGCTTGGAAAACCAGCGAAGAAAACTTGAGATGACTGAAGAAACTGCGAAGAAGGCGTCGGAACAGTACGACACAAGTCGACAGCAAATTCAGGATCGTTCCAAGTATCTTATCCAGCTTGTACGCGAATCTGAAGAACAGTGTCTTAAAGAACTGGAAGAAAATCTCAAGACGCAGGTAGAGAGTACGTCAGGGAGGCAAGAAGAGCTTCTAGATTCGTACAAGAACCACATCGACTTCTCTCAAACACTTCTCGCGCATGGAAGCTCAACGGAGATTTTGTCCCTTGGCGGTTGTCTTGCAGATCGACTCCACAGTTTGAAGATGAAAAGCGTTGAGTCGGGGAACAGTGACACGCAGTCAAAGATGTCCAAATGCCTTACTTTCGCCACGGAGAAGAAAGACGTCAAAAACGACATCGAGTCACTTTTTGGTCAAGTTGGAAAGGCAGACGACACCACGGAAGACAACATTCTGAAGGAAAATCGTGAGGAAACTGTGACGTCACTGGGAGGGCTGACCACTCAATGGAAGAGCGGCAGGCCAAGGTCATTCAGTCTAGTTGTCACCACCCCCGGGGACATTATCGTAGCTGGGCAAAAAGTGCTGAAAATCATCAACGGAGACAACTTGGACGTTATAAAAACCGTTGACTTGAAATTTGAACCCAAAGACGTGGCGTACTCACACGACAATGTGTACCTTACTGGCGATGGTAGCAGCATCCATATCTTTACCAGTAGTGGAATAGAGAAAGATGCCATCAATGTAGAAGACGCAGACCAACGGTGTAACACACAGGGGATAGCAGCTAACAAGCCAGGGCATATCATAGTATCCATGGGAGCACAAGTGTACGTATTACTCCCTAACGGTGACATTGAGTGTAGTTTTGTAGGCAGCGAAGAGCTGAAAAAGTTGCTAACTCGTAAGACCGTACGCTCCGCTTGGAGGCTGTACATCGCTAGTAACAGTAGAAACCAAATCATAATAAGCGATCCTTGTAGTAATAATATCAATATTTTTGATATGACGGGGAATTTCATAAGTACCGTAGCAGGGTATGGGAAAGATGACGGTCAGTTGTTTTGCCCAACCGGTGTTTGTTTAGATGAAGATGACAACATCATTGTAGCTGATTGTCGGAACGATCGGGTGTCGAAGTTCGGTCGAGATGGAGCATTCATCAAGCACGTGATCACCAAGCATGACGGCCTGTTTGCACCAATGGGAGTGGCTCTATCACGTGATGGGCGGAGCCTGATTGTTTCTAGTCTAGTCGGGGGCATGCCAGTAAATATTTATAAAATATTGTAAAGTCGTATTTTGATGACTTTAGCTAGATACCTGTTGTTATACCTATCTTTAAGTTAATTGAATATTCAACTAACTAAAAACTTATAAACTTATTAAAAACCTATTGACTTACTTTAATAGTGTCCCAGAACCATTGAATTTGTTTCACAGTTATAATGCATGCATGCACATTTATGGTTGACGATATTGTATAGTACAATTATTATATTATACTTTAGAAAAATAGTAAAAACTTATGTAGAGATATATGATTAAATAGTCAAGAAATATTTGATGATTCATTATCAATGATTGCCATGGTCCTATATATATCAATAAAGTCCAGCTTTCAATACACTTAACTGGTACGCGTATGAATATGTAAAGATTGCAGTAGTATGCCTCTGCACTATAGAGTTTATTTTTGGCGACGTCTCAGGGAGGAGCCTAATGGTACAGTATTATGTGCGGTTTGCAAGAATTCTAGGAATTGTACAGGAATTATGTCCACAGGAATGGAATGTCCACAGGAATGTCTCCCAGCTCTGTTTGTTGACGTCCCCACATTCCTGGAAACCCTTGTGAAAACCTGTCTGCCCCGGATGCCCCAGTTTCTGTGACCGCGGGGCTCGTTCACTATACACTCAGGGGAGGGGAGGGTACCAAGGCTTCCTCATAATCATGAAGTGATGGCATTGCCATGCAAACAATAACCCTAACAGCAACCACCGTCGCCATGGCAATGTATGTTTTCATTGCCATTCTTGTTTATCTCTTCTTTGTAAGCAGTAGTCTCCGTCTAAAACCTTCACTTGCAGGTGTTCTTGTCGTCGCATAGTGGCGCTTCTTGCTCATCCATTTGCTAGGCAGGACCCTAAATGAAGTAAGGAAACCCAGTGTCATTCAACGAACAAGGCAAGGTCCTGACACTATGGTATCTTGTGAGAGAAAACTACCTAAAACGTACAAATTTGTAACTTACAAAAATACAAATTTGTTAATTACTTTTTTATTATTATTCTAAATTACAAACTGAGCTAATACATTTTCTTCCTTATGGTTTTGATGTTGTTTGTGACTGAGCTACCCATAATGGCAAGCGTTTCCCAGCATGCAATGGGATCCGTGAAAAGGTCAATGCCCCACCAACGGGACAACGTGCGAGCCATAGAGCGCACACAACAAAAGCGCCAAACACTTCCAGTGCAGTTTTTAGGGCTTGGAAACCCGATTTTTCAAAGTCAAAATTCTAGTCATTTATCTACATACTGAGTTGAAACCACACTATCCCAATGTATATTGACCGTCATGGAGCAAACATTACCAACATTCTGACGGAAAATGGTCACTGAAAAGGCCCTGGGCTGATTTTCAGGGTACCACTTAGAAAATAAATGACTAATCTTGGGACTTGTTTCTGCAGTTTTAAAAGCCCAAAGTATGAAAAGCTGACTCAAATGTGCCAATGTGAAGCAGTATGTGTCAATATCACAAAGATTGCCTTATTCAGAATATTTCCAGTTTTGCTGCCCTGAAATTGCATTGGATGTCTTTAAGGACAAGTGCGCTCTGTTGATAATAAGATCGAAACAAATTCGATTGCCCTATGCTCAGGAACCGATTCCAATCGAGGAATGAGTCAAATACTATCACCAATAAACAGCTTGAAGCCGGTATGTTATAGAAATGCAATTGCATTAGGTATATTGCTTTGTATGAATAATAGATAGGATGAAAGTGCTTGGCGTCATTTTACACACTATTGCGTATCTATACACATACAAGTAGATGTATACGGGCATATCTAATCCGTATCAGTATCCCTGATATTTTTGAACATGCACACACTGTTCATAGTGATACGTAAAGACACTACTGAGCGAGAATTACTGATATTATTGATATCATAGCCATTTTGCAAAGTATGACATAGTAAGCATTAAAATTACCAGAAGTGACATTATAGTACAGAAAAGGAATAAGTAACATACCTCCAGTAAAATACATGAAGCCAATTTCTTTTTTCCACAACAACGTCCTTGTTTTCACTGTAGGCCCAATGGTTCCTCAACTCACACCAACTTCTTCTTTTCTTGTTTTTAGTTAAAACTTTTGATCCAACACAAAGAAATCTCTCACCTACAGCTTTCGACCAGTCACTCTGGTCTTCCTCAGTAGACTGACCCAGTAAAACGTGGCTTCTTTGAAGTGTGACGTCAACACTGGGTCAAAGGTATCTGGTAGACGATGTCGGCCCCCGTCGCGGTTCAATGAAGGGTGATGGGCCCTGATGTATATGGCTTCCTTCACCCCTCTCAAGAAATAGTCTTGTTCAGTGTCCAAAATTCTTCTTCCTGTTACTGGTGACATTTCGCATGTGGAAGCGACAGTGGCTGCTGCACCCAGAAGAAACTGTAGTAGATGACCAGTACGATAGCCACCAGAGAGATTGAGAACACGTATCCTACTATAAGCATGGCCCGGGCGGCTCTATATGGAACATTCGACGTAACAGGCCTAGGCTTGAGCTTAGACTGGCGCCTATTGAACCTCTCCATCATGTAAACCTTTGTACAAATGTAATACGGCGGGCTGGAGCATCTAGATATGTTCTTGTGAAATAGCCTTGTCACCATCGGTTAATTCTATTAGTGTTGGCAGGGTTTTTTCTGCATCTAATTATTCTATTATCATATTAGAAGAACAAAATGGATATTAGACTGGGAGGGCACAAGGTTAAAGGCAGGCAGGGCAGCGTACGCACGCGTAGGGTACTAGTATATCACAGCACGAAAACAGACATTTAAGCAAACTTTCCGCAATATGTAAAGAAGTCTTAAAGGTGAGAAAATATTTCTATCAGTAGACTTTACGACTTCGTAAAGGCTGCTGAGAGGCAAATTCCGTCTTTCAGTGTGCTTAAAGACGACGTAAACATATTTTATATCTTTACGCTTCCTTTACAAATCCGTAAATATGTATCAGAAAATGTACTCATGAACCATGATGAGGGTGAGAGGAGAGTACAAACAGTCGAACTGCATTTCTACCTGCTGCAGGGCCACCTAGCGGCGGGGTGTATATATGCAGCTATTCTTACACTGAGAAAAGCAAGTTGTTGTATATCAAAGTGTTGTGGTGTTGTGTATAAAAGAACGGCACCTAAAAACGCTATTATTTACTATTTTATTGACAAATTTCATGTAGCATCTGATTTAAGGGATAGAGACGTGTGAACACTGTCACGACTGCTGAGTTTTATTATTATTATTATTATTATTATTCATCATTATTAGTATTATAATACATGTAGATATAACCAATATAAGTAGTAGTGTGTCCTGTACACTGTATAGGTGAGAGTTCATTTTTTTTAATTCCATGTCTCCGATTCGCTGTTTTCTGTGAAGAAATATATTACACTCTTGATGACACCTTCAAGCTGCAGTTATGGCTGTCGTCGAAAGGCAGCGCTTCTGCTTTGATGCGGCTTCCGTCTCTGAAAAAAAAAGGAACTAGTAGTAACATTTGCAAAGCAAATGCATAATGTTTACCTTTGGATACGGTCTAGCTGCTTTGTTAATTCTTACTCAAACACGTTCACATACATGTACTACTACTACTAGCATATGGTGACAGGAGTAGAGCAGACTGTGAAATTGCAACATTATGTAACCCAACACCAGTCACCATGGTGACAGACGTCAACAAATCATGTCATTGGTCAGGTCATCGGTCACTGTTTGGAGAAGAAGAAGAGGAAGAAACAGAGCAAAAACAATATGTTTTCCTTCGGTAAACATAAATATTTGGTACGTTCTTCATCGAAACACGGCCCTAGCACAAGTATATTTTGTAAGAGACAACTATGGAGAAAACAGAAACCTCCTCTGTGGCTACCCCCCCCCCCCCCAAGCCTATCAATGGTTTATCCCTTTACAACTATGCCAGTGTGTATGAGACCAACCGTTTTCTTACTATACGTCCTTGACAGGGAGGGCCAATAGATTTACTATCATTAAAAGACGTGCCCATAGATTGTCTTATATATAGTGCGTTGTAGCAATTGTATCCAAGGTTGAAGGTGTGTGTACTTTCCATATTTCTAAAATCGGAAAAAAAGCTAAATATTGTCATAGTAAAAAAACTCTGGCAACCAATGACCATCGAAATGATATAAAAACAGTTTGGAGGCAATAGTGCAACAGTGGTACATCATTAGTATATTGCCAATAGTGTAGATGTATGAATAATTTATAGGGTGCAATTGGGCGTGACTTTTACAAACTGTTGTGCCTCTATCCATTGAAATGGACGTATACAATTCCAAATGATATATAGTACATCACATTTAAGAAAAATACAAGTTGGGACAAAATACGCTATAAGCATGAGCAGTAGTTTAATATGTATGTATGATGAAATATTTCCAATACATGACTCACTATATGAGAGTTTAGTTATCTTCAAACATATAATATAAAACACCGGTAAAGCAACAGAGCATGACATGCGTGAATGCGTCGATGAATGTTAGACATACATGTTATTATGTTCACAAGAACTTGCAGAAGTTACTCAAGCAATTGGATAGATTTTGAAAACTGTCAGACGTTTCTAGTAGCATCCACTATTTTTCGTGACTGACGTAAAGTAGTGGATGCTACTTGAAACGTTTCACAGTTTTCCCAATCTATCCAATTGCTTGAGTATCAGTTGATTGTGGGAGAGGAATAGTAATGTATTTCTAGCCTTCTCCTTATTCTATAGACTGTCTGTGATACTTTTGAATTGACCTAAAGACTCTTTTATCTATTATAAGGCATATCTAGTCCTCCGTAATTTTCTTCACATGTTCAGTGTTTAAAAAAAAAGAATAACATTTAAAACAAAGGGAATGAATTATATACAGTCACTTCGGAATTGTGTACCTTTAGGCTAAGCTAGAATAAATGTGCCTAAAAATAAAGTCTTTAGGTCAATTCAAAAGTATCACAGACACAGTCTATAGAATAAGGAGAAGGCTAGAAATACATGCCATGTTCTTCCCCGAAAATGAACTGATACTCAAGCAATTGATATATTTTGAAAACTGTACATGTGTCAAGTAGCACGAAACTGACGAAAGTAGTAGTGGATGCTACTTGAAACGTCTGACAGTTTTCAAAATCTATCCATAAGCTTTAGTAACTTACTTTATGTATGGAATTATGTACCTTTAGGCTAAGTTCATTTCATTAAATCTTCTGCCGAGGCGGTAGTCGCCATCCCTCCTCCTCCATTCCCGTCGTCACCGCCGCCTCCATTCCCTCCGTCGCCGCCGCCTCCACCGCCGGGCGCCGCGGTAGTCACGTTCCTCGCCCCGCCGCCAGTCGACGGGAACAGCGCGGCGTCTCCGAACCAGAAGAAGCTGTAGTAGATCGCCAGCACGATGGCGGCCAGGGAGATGGTGAACAGGTAGCCGGCCACGAGACAAGCCCGTCCTACTTTGTTAGGAGGCTTCTCGAACGAAGGTTCGGGGTGCGGATGCTCGGGTGCCGGGGCGTCGACGAGTTTGGGCGGCTCGACGACACCGGCTGTGCCGGGCGGAACAGACGCAACAGGCGGGGCACCACCAAGTTCCTCCATCGTCTAAAACTCTTCGGTAAGTCGCGCAGGTTTCTAACAGAGTTCTTTTTCTCGCCAAAAATTCAACACCTTCTATAGGTGTCGACAGTTTTCTATTAAAATAACCTTGATGACAGGGGGCTGTCCGTTTCTGTTACTTGATGGGTTATGGAGATAGGGGAGCGACCGTTTGTTAAGAAAGAGGGTCTGACACAAACTGAGTGATGTACGATATTATTACAGTGTAATGACTTTTCAAACCACGCCCAATTTTCTCAAGAGACTTGTCTGGTTATACATGACGTCATCCTCTAGTCTATGGACCATTCTATCTGGTCTATTACACATCGACAATGTAGATTTTTTTATAATCGCAAAGGTGTGACTAGTCGCGTTTACATATGGTTAAACACATAAAAAATATGAAGCATCATGTCTGTTATTTTGCCTCTGGCATTCCTGCATTGAATAAAATAAATAGCTTCGAAAATCTACAGCAATTTTACCATTGACAGAGCAGACCATACGAACATATATAGCATACATGTAACAGACCACTACATTATCTATATAATATAATGCAAATTACAACCTAATAAAATTATATGTATCAAACAAGGTCGCAAAAGACCATGTCTAAAAGCAAAATTTTGTTGACAACGATGAAATAGTTGAATAGTTGAATGAAACTTCTGCACACATTTTGAACGTGTTACTACTACAGTAAGTACCTAATACCAGCTCAGAAGAGAACAAGAAATAGCCATGCCTTCAGTTATCAACCAAGGATTGAGGTGTTCAAAAACTCATTCTTTCCTAGAACTATCGCAGAGTAGAACTCGCTGTCACCAAGTACAGTAGGGGCATTGTCATTAGATAGCTTTTAACAATGTCTAGAGTCAGATGTTCAAGGGTTAGGTGTAACAAGTCGATCGGTGTGATGTAGCCAGCTGCCGCCGCGCCGCGTGCCTGTGACGCTGGTGTGTTACGCCGAAGGGCGGTTATACCGGCTATACAGATACAGAAGCTGGTGTGTTACGCCGAAGGGCGGTTATACCGGCTATACAGATACAGAAGCTGGTGTGTTACGCCGAAGGGCGGTTATACCGGCATTACAGATACAGTTACATGTACAGCTAGGACTCAAGTCGCGACCACATTCGTAAAAAGTTCGTGGTACGATTGGGATGTCGTAAGATTTCCAAGCAGACTGTGGTACAACTAACCGCCGACAGGGATCTAACAAGTCCTTCTCCATAACAAGACAGATAAATGTCGTGCGACACGTGCACGACAAACTAAAAAAATGCCCTCAGTTCGTGGTCCTACGACGATTGTAAGACGATTGCACGACTCTAAGGAAGTTGGGCGACTGTTACTTGCTCCGCTGTGCTTGCAGGGGCTGTACTGGTTGAGGCGGCTGTTGCCGTCCCTCCTTCCCCGCCTCCATCACCACCGTCCCCGCCACCACCGTCACTCTCTCCCCCGTCGCTCCCTCCACCGTCGCCCCCTCCACCGTCGCTCCCTCCACGTGCACCGTCCCCACCTCCACCGTCGCTCCCTCCACCGTTGCCCCCTCCGCCGTCGCCCCCAAGACCACCGCCCCCTCCACCGCTAGACCCCGCAGAAGTAGCGTTCACGCCGCCGCCGCTTGGCGGGAACAGCCCGGCATCTCCTCCCCAAAAGAAGCCGTAGTAGACCACCAGAACTACCGCGCCAAGAGAGATCACCAACAGGTACCCTGACACAAGACAGGCCCGCTCAACTTTGCTTCTCGGCTTCTCGGACGACAGTTTAAAGTCAAGGCTCTCTTGTGTCGACGGCTTCGCAGGTTGACGAGATTCGTCGTCGGTTATGGTTGGGATAGAAGTAACAGGTTCGGTAGCTACCGCCTCCATCGTCTAGAAATTTGCAGTATGATACGCCAATCGTCTGGGGTGTCTTTTCAACCGAGCTAAAGTCTTCACACCAGCTTGCGTTCTGACGAAGAAGCAAATGTGTTCCAGAAATGTTGACGGAGAGTTTTCTATATGGCGTCATTCGTAGCAACGGTTGGATTAATGTATTAGTCACTGACAATGTGAAATAATGTTTTATTCATAATTTGAATAAGAGGATGGATTACTCGAATTCCTGAGCATGAACAGTACACAATGGATAGCGTTAAAAATACACTGTGACAGTATCCCATTATTTTGCATTGGGACAAGTCTGCTACGTGACACGCGGTTTCGAAAATACGAAAATTACGTATTCAAGACAATTTTATAGAGACCACTATTATAAAATATGGTAGAAATAGAGGAATGGAAGTTGTTTTGGTGGCACACACTTTGAACGTGATGCAGTCTCTTTATCTATAACAGAAAAATGGAATATCAACAATTTATAATAGTGATTATACCATATTGGGAACCCATTCCATGACCGCCCCCTTGCGGATTTGTTACAAAGTGTCAGGACAGTTATCTCCTAGTTTGCATGCAATCAAATTTTTATAAGTCTGAATATATGGGAAACGTCTGGGAGTTTCTCAAGGTTCCAACCAAACGTGGAACACTACCCGATGGGTCATTGGTTTGGTAATGTGGCTGAGGTACAACATATATTCTCGCAGCCACTTTTACAATTGTAAAAAAATATTTTGCAAGACGTTTGAAAAAGTATGGATACATAAAAGACCTCGCATGAGTTAAACCTCCCATCCCAGAAGAAAAAGAAAGCATAGCAGGACACATACAGCTAAACGCGTTTTGTTTCTATTATGTAGTTTTGTGCGGCCAACAAAATTTTACAGTTAATACCATACGCAAACTGCCGCGAAGAACTAACAGTTGTTTAGCATTGTCATAAAGTGTGTTTGAAGTAATAGTGTGTCCAAGAATGCTTGAAAGCTTACCAAAAAGGACTGAGCTCTAGTAGGCGTATAACAGTTATAGGGCAGTGCAATAGATAACAGGCATCACTGTATCAGTAGTCCTGAGTGCAAATGTGGGTATCCAAATGAGACACCAGACCACTATTTATTACACTGCAAATTTTATAATGCTGAAAGGACCAAAATGTTGTTATCCATATCTTGCCTTCATCTTGAAAACATACTCCCTTCCGACCTACTCAACGCAAACGACGCCGCATTATGTACTTTACTTCTTACAGGCAGCCCCTCCCTCCCATACCCTACTAACTGCCGTATCTTTGATATTGTGTTTAACTATATCCACCACTCTGGAAGATTTGACCAATCTCATTAATGTTATGTTATAGGTATTGGTGCGCCAGCCATTTTCATTTTATATATGTTATACTTTATGTCATATCTTTATGTTTACTTTTGTATTATGTTTTATGAGCAGCGGATTTACATAAGCACAACAAGTGCTTCCTAGGCTATCCAATGCTCAAGAATCCATGTGAATAAAAAAAAAAAGATAATGAGCAGTCACACTGGAAGCTGGTGCCCCCCTCCCCCTCATTCTAGCTTAAAGAAGTGGCAGTCATACCGACTCGGTGAAGCCTAGCGTCAAGGTTTTCGGACACGTGTTTGCCACAGAAAAGCGCCCGGGGGTCAAGCAAAGGAAGTTCTATAAGATATCTTAATCTTGTGCGGAAGCCTCCGTAAGTCGGTAAGACATCGCAATTTCTCCACAGCGATTGAAAATCTGATATTGGATTTTCTGCAAATGCCTGCTACAGATTAAAGGGAACACAACACTTGTAGTTGATCCCAGAAAATCCCAATTTTAGACAGAATAGGCCACAGCAAGTACGTTTTATGGGTGACATCAGCGCGCGCATTAATTTTCGCCTGATTTTTGAAAAAAAAAAAGAAATTTTGTTTCCCTCTGACAGTGGTCAACATGCCGAAAATGGGCAAAGTTGTCTGTTGCCATGCCGAAACGTGGATGGCAGATAGATATGAAGAGAGCATATAAGACAAGCAAGGCTCTGATTTCATCCCTTTTATATGTGATGCTGGCTGTGTATATGTGATGTTCCTACGGAATAAAAACCATTTGTACAATGAATGAAAAGGTTTTTTCAGTGACAATTGAATGTTGTGACAATTGGCAGTAAACTTAGCACAATATAGGTATCATTTCTTGTTTTACAAGGTTTATGATGTCAAAATTGGGAAATGTAGAAATCTTGTTTTTTTTCGGCCCGCCTTGTTTTTTTTCGCCCGCTGGCATTAGATTTGGAGTCTGTGGAGGATGTCATCCATAAAATTTACTTGCTGTGGCCCTATATCGGAAATCGTGAGGCAGTGTTTCGAGTTTTGCAACTGTTTCCACCCGTTTGGTCTAAAAATGGCAGACCACGTGCATAGAGACGAGGTACGTTTGATTAAGGCCACGCCGACTTAATTTTATGGATAGCATTCTCTTAAGACCCCCCAAACTAGTGCGCGCGGGCGAATAAAAAAAATCCGACCCAAAATAAAGATTCTACTTAAAACCACAGGAATACAAAGCTGGTATTGTGAATTTGCGGCAGTACATAGCGACGTATACGACAAGCCGGCACATACTGGCTTTTTTATTTATCTATTAGTTTATTTGTATCAACATATCAACAACATATCTCGCAGCCTTGACATACATGGCTGAATTCTGATGTTTGTTTACATACAAATTTAGGTATTTGCAGTCTTACAATCGTACACACTATAACAATCTTTTTGCGGAATTTATGAATCGGTACTGTATGTATGTACTAAGATCTTGAGTCGTGGAGCTTCGGTAGCCTGGGTGCCATCTTACCACCGGCTCCGTATTGTCACTAACTAGGATGGACTACCCAGGCCTAGAGCCAGGCCAGAGCCTCGGAGGACGTGATCTTTTTTTTTTTGTTTATAGTTAAAACTTTTGGTCCAACACAAAAAAAGTTCTCTCACCTAGAGCTTTCAACCAGTCACTCTGGTCTTCTTCAGTAGACTGACCCAGTGAAGCTCGTCACGTGGCTTCTTTGAAGTGTGACGTCAACACTGGGTATATGGTATATGGTAGACGATGTCGGCCCCCGTCGCGGTTCAATGAAGGGTGATCGATGGGCCCTGATATGGCGTCCTTCACCCCTCTCAACAAATCTTTTTTTTTAGAAAGAACAGGCGCAAATCAATGCGCGCGTGGATACTATCCATAAAATTAAGTCGGGGTCAGTGGCCTAAATGTTTCTTAATAATTCCGCTTGTTGAATCCATTTTCCGGAGGACGCTAATTTCTTCTCCAATTTCAGTCTGACCTACTTAGAACGTTGACGTAAATAGAAAAAAAATAGCTTATATAAAACATGACTTATTCAACTCCTCCGTCTTTTAAAAAGAGGCTTTTTTGAGAGAACGCTTCATTTCTTCAACCCTGAAGCACGCATCTGCCTGACGATTTTGCCACAACGATCTGTGACGAACTGTAGAAAATTGCGTAGGCTACAATCTCTCTAGATACGCACCGAAAATATCTACAAAGCACCATGGATCGTCGCTTTAGCGCTCTCAAGGTATGGCTGTTTTTTTATATAATATTTATCATTATTTCAAAAGCAAAGAAAACAGAGGACCTGTTCACATACAAGAAAAGTAAATACCCAGAGACATTTTGCAAACAAAACATTAGTCTAACAATTTACCATACAGTGGACCCCATTTCAACATATGTTTATCGGGGTCGTGTGGCGTAGGTGGGGTCGTGTGGCGTAGCGGCAGCGTTCTCGACTCGGAACCAGAGGCCCCGAGTTCGAGTCCTGACATGTCACCGACCTTGTGCCCTTGGGAAAGGCACTTTACACGACTTTCCTCACTTCGCTCAGGTGTAAATGAGTACTTGTATTGTACTGTCCCTGTGTTGGTGGCGGCATTAATATAAGTTGAAAAAACTTGAGTGTGCCGTCACCACGTCTTGTGATTGCATGTTTCGGAATATAAAAAAAAAACATATGTTTATCCATTTTCCCACAGTTTTGTGCTGTGCAGGTATGGCTGTTGTTAAGTGTGGTACAATTCGCCGCCACGACCGAGTCTTGTTCCCCAAAATGTAGCTGGGCAAGCTGTTCCGACGGTCGGCTACAGTTCAGCGGGAGTTGGTTTAAGGCTAGAAACGTCAACCATCCCTGTCTCACGTGCGATTATGGTTCGGAAGAACCAGCACCTCTCCCCGACGCTTCATGCTTCGGGCACCCGAAGTGGGTCGGCGTCAGGGGGGTCCCGTTCGGCGTTCTCTCGGCGGCAAAGCTACCCATCCCCGAGCCCACACAACTGGCCTTCCTCGCCCTGGTCGATACCAAAATCACGGACTTGGAGCAGAACACCTTAGCAAACCTTCCCTACTTACAGGAGCTACACTTGGAATTCAACAACCTGACTGAAGTTAAAACCAGCTACTTTACAGGTTTAAATGATAGTTTGAGGCATCTTCGTATCTTATCTCTCGCGCACAACAAAATTTCACACCTAGAACCAGGTTGTTTCCGAGACCTCACTGGTCTTTGGGAGTTGGTACTTTGGAGTAACCATCTAATGTCTATAGACCATTCTAGTTTCCTGGGTCTTGGTATGCTAAAGGAACTTATTCTTGGGTTAAATCGTATTGAAACAATCTGTTGTAGTACTTTTCAATCTTTCAACCAGCCTCTGCTTCGCCTAGTGGACTTGAGTAGGAACAGATTGGTACATGCTTGTCTGAACGCTGAACTATTTAACGGTTTCGACCGGCAAGTGCCTGTACCCATGTCCCCATTGATCATAAAACTCTCAAATACCCAGAGCGTCGACACCCCTGTCACAAAACTGTGGAGCCTCGTTGTTCACACTAGACCTCGCAGGCATGAGGTATCCGTTGTTCTACAGAACCGCAGAATTTGTTTTACTCAAAGTCACGAAAAGAAATACGAGATAGAGTGGGAAGAGAGGGAAACATCCAAAGACGATATTCTCCTCGCTTCCCCTTGTTATACCTTACTCAGATCGGAAACTCTACCAAAGTCAGCCACGGCTGTGGCACCATTCGTTGTTGTTTTGGGTAAAACAGGCATATCTGACAGGCAGCAGTGTGTACTTGCTTGGAAGCGCCAAAAAGGAGTTGAGATGCCTCTGAGGGATAGCCTCAATATTCGGCTTGTTACCATAGATATCGAAACAGACAAAAATAACGCAAAGGGATACACGGCGCTTATATTCGATGAGAAGTCAACAGAAACGGGAAACGATTCAAAGATTCTGGAAGGTACATGTATGAGACAGCGACTCAATGACGGTCCAGAAATCAGAAATGTGACCTGTATTTCGCTTACCTCAGAAAAAGCTTCCTTTACTTCATTTGAAGTTAGTCCTGCACAAATTATCTCTGACAAAATGTGCTTGGAAAACCAAGTTCACAATAATACTACAGGGAACAATACAGTCACATACAATACCACTGTGACAAATACCACGCAAGCAACAAAAATTCACAGAACAGTCGTTCCTGAAGACCGTTCAGAAAAGCAACATATCACCATGGGATTAATTTTAGCATTGGCCATAGTGGGACTGTTTTGCATAGGGCTTATCTTAGTGTATATTTACAGAAAACATTTTGTCGTGCGAAATAATGACAGACAGGCAAGGCAAGGCAATGATACAGGCAAACAAATTCAACCGGCAGTGACTGTAGCGATGAAAAGTATAAAAGCAAAAAGAGCATCGTCTTTGCCAATTGTAGCGCTTCAGGACATGCTGATTTTTAATAGGCTACATAGATGTACGCATCTTCAACGTCAGTATTCGGCGCCTAACGTTGCAAATAAAAACAGAAGAGGTGCCTCATTCGATGCCCCGCACTATTGGGAAATTCCGGACGCTCTCGTAGACTCCACCTACCAACCTGCCCCGGGAAAACTGGACGCCCCGCATTATTGGGAAATTCCGGACGCCCTGGTTGACTTCGTCCCAACTTCGGACACCCCTCGGGAAATTCCGGACGCTCTCGTGAACCCCACTCGCCAGCCGACAAAAGACGAACGTGACGAGGCCCACTATTGGGAAATCCCAGATGCTGACACCATTCCATGCCCCCACTCCCCACTTCAAACAGTCTCAGACAATACAACTAACAGTACACCAAGGCCACCATCTCTTCAGCACCAGTACTGCAATATTCCAGATGAAGATGGTGATTCTACCACCTTCTATGCGTCAGCTGTAGGGGCAAAATACTCTACTGTCACTAAGAGCGAAGATAATAGCCGACTGTACGAAGGCGTCGCCTCTAGATCTACCGCAACGCCACAGACAGGCGACGGACATTCTATTCCGGCCACATACGGAACTCGCGACTTCCAAACGGCCTCTGTGTTAGTTCCAGATCCTGAAAACTAAAATTTGCATACTTGTGACTCGTTACATGCCTCTAGATGTACCGCTACGCCACAGACGGGCGACGAACATTCTATTCCGGCCACATACGGAACTCATGACTTCCAAACGGCCTCTGTGTTAGTTCCGGATCCTGAAAACTAAAATTTGCATACTTGTGACATATGGAAAAATTTGCGGCATACTTGTGACATACGGAACTCATGACGTCCAGATCTTGAAAACTAAAATTTGCATACTTGTGACTAGCTACATAATCGAAACTTACTACGTTCATAGCTTATGAGAGACGGCTGACGCCATACGCGTTCTGCAATTTTTAACCACTGTTCCCAATCACTAAAATTACGCGACACGTTCAAAATGATATTGTTGCCATACACTAATGTACAATTATGTTAGTATACAGCCAATAGTAGAAGTGCAGTCGAAATGTAATGATAATATGATGCTAGTATTTCAGAATAGTTCAATTTTCTGAAAAAAAAATCATGTGAATGTAACACCCAGATGTTACCATAAATAAAGAAGATATATTCTGTATCAGAACTTATGATGAACGAGAAATAAAACTGTTCATAGTGGAACTATCTTGGCTGATGTCTACATCAATCACGTCTATCCTTTCATATACTCAGGAAACAGTTAACCTTCCTATCTAGATCTTTTAATCTGTAATCACAGATCAAAGGGGATCATACAAGAAATACCAGATTAACCCCTAGCCTTGGTCGGAGATTGAGTGTGCGGAAACAAAAAAAAAGGTAATATTTGCAAAGCAAATGCATAATGTTTACCTTCGCATATGGTCTGCTCTGTTAATTCTTACTCAAACACATTCATATATATGGTGACAGGAGTCTAAATCCCTCCTACTATAAAACTGCAACATGGTGTAACCCAACACTAAGTTACCATGGTGATAGACTGTCTGGTTCAGGTCATTGATCTTTTGCGTTTGGAGTAGACGAAACTGAACAAAACATAAACACAGATCAATGGGGATCAGGGATTACAAAGAATACCGGATTATCCCCTAGCCTTGATCGGAAATTGAGTGTGCGGAAAAAGACAGAAACTAACCTTGACCAGTTATTGGTTCTCAGGTTTAGGCCACACCAAGTAAATTTTATGGATGACGTCCGCGCGCGCATTGATTTTGGCCTGTTCCTAGAAAAAAAAACACAAGAAATTCCGCTTCCTGTAACTATGGCCAAAGAGTGACGACAGTGCCGCAATTTTATGCTTTGTTTCTGCAGGCCTGCAAAAATGTGATGAAAGAAACAGGACAGGACGATAACTGCTGTTCCACCTGATTTATTGCTGTTTTGACGATGAATAAAAGACGTCTTGCTTGTTACACTGTGTCACCTCATTCAATTTGTGTCCTAACATTTGTCATCTCTTAGTATATTTCTAATCTAGGCATCTTGTTTTTAGGGCCCTTCTTGTTTTTTTTCGCCCTTTCGCATTAGATTTAGGGTCTCCAAAGGACGTCATCCATAAAATTTACTTGGTGTGGCCTTAGATATATCTTCAAAGCGATAGTGATACCGTAAAGAGTGTCTCCGCTCCTGTGGCGTCGCCAAAATAGATTGCTTTCTAAACCGAGAGATTACATATACGTTTAATGTCTACATTATTGGAGTAGAGCGTGCAATAGGGGGTTTTGTCCGGTAATCTAAGGTTGTCCTAGAAAATAAGGTCGTTGTAAAATTGTCTAGCTAATATCCAATGATGGCTGCCATGCTATAGTGTATTTAGAACAGGAGCTTTGTTCAAATTGCAGTGAAAAGTGATTCCCTCGACCTATTTCAGTATTTGATTCCAAACTTTTCCCGCATGTAAGGCCATGTTGATTTGATTATATGGATGACATCCACGCGCGCATGAATTTTCGCCCGTTTCAAAAAAAAAAAAGTTTTCGACCATACTGTAAATCGTACAAAATGAGCGAATATATGTCGTATGTTGCAAAAAAAGGACTGGAAAACAATACTAGTGTCATAGAATGTCGAAATGAAGTCAGGAAAGGAATAAAATGTGAAGAAATGAAGATTAAGAGTCTATTATCATTTGCCAAACCATACTATGTGTGTTTAGTCATTTGTTCAACCTTTATAACCACGTAGATTTCATAATAAAGGAAACTTTTCTGTCAAACTTTTTTTTTATTCGCACGCTCGCATCAGTTTTGGGGTTCCCAGAGGATGTCATCCATATAATCAAATCAACATGGCTGGCCTTAGATCAAAGTTTCTTCTGAGGTACTATAAAATCCTAACTAAGCCTAGACGCTGAAGGTCATCCCGCAAAGCCTTCTGGGACCTAGTTGACCTTGACTTTTTATATTCCAACATTTATTACACGACATGGTGACGGCACACTCAATTTTTTCAACTTATTTTTATGCCGCCATCAACGCAGACAAACGCACGGACAACAAACATACTCATTTTCACCCGAGTTAAGTGAGGAAATTCGTGTAAAATGCCTTTCCCAAGGGCACAAGATCGATGCCATGGCAGGATTAGAACTAGGGACCTCTTGGCTCAGAGCCAAACGCTGTCATTACGCCAGACGACCCCACGACTTTGACTTAGTCATGATATTGGCACAATGGCCTTTCAAAACGAGCTAAGATGCTTTGTCCAATTTCTATGAATTTAAGACAGGTGATTTAAGCCTTTGTAACAGACCTATTAGATATAGTTCGTTGCTATTCAGGCCTTGTCTAATGCGTGTATTTCAAATATCTGCCACGCCGACATGCTTATAAATTAGTATAATTATCCCGCAAGTCAAGGGCTTGCTAACGATAAGGCCACACCAAGTAAATTTAATGGATGACGTCCGCGCGCGCATTGATTTTGGAATGTTCCTAGAAAAAAAAAACAAGAAATTCCGCTTCCTGTAACTATGACCAAAGAGTCACGACAGTGCCGCAAATCGTTAGATTGACGTGAACCCCGTAACGCGAAATGGGTAAAGAGCACATGCTTTGTTTCTGCAGGCCTGCAAAAATGTGATGAAAGAAACAGGACAGGACGATAACTGCTGTTCCACCTGATTTATTGCTGTTTTGATGATGAATAAAAGACTTCTTGCTTGTTACACTGTGTCACCTCATTCAATTTGTGTCCTAACATTTGTCGTCTCTTAGTATATTTCTAATCTAGGCATCTTGTTTTTTAGGGCCCTTCTTGTTTTTTTTTCGCCCTCTCGCATTATAGATTTAGGGTCTCCAAAGGACGTCATCCATAAAATTTACTTGGTGTGGCCTAACATAGAATCGCACAAAATGTACAGTCCATTAATATCAAACTTCTCGACTATAATAAATGTGCACCATCGGTAACAATGACCCAAAAATTTCAACTTTCAAAATGTAATGGCCCGATTTAACATTGTTACCTCCATGAAATGTGTCATGGAGGTTATATTTTCAGTTGCGTTTATCTGTCCGTCCGTCCGTCCGTCCGTCCGTCCGTCTGTCTGTTGGTCAACAAGATAACTCAAGAACGCCTGGATGGATTGGTTTCATACTTGGTGTGTTGGTAGGGTGTGACGAAAACTGGAAATGATGAGATTTTTGTCCCCCTAGTGGCTTCCCTTGGTACTGCAGCGCAACTTCCGGTTTTGATATCTCGCGATCTGGACATGCTAGGGTCATGAAATTTTGATGGAAGGTAGCTCTCGTGCTTGAGAAGAAGTCATATGAGTTTGGGCCCCCTAGCGGCTTGTTCTGGAACTGCAGGGCACTTTCTGGCGAAATGTTTAAAAGCCAATAAGTCCAGACAGGAACAACATATTTTCATTATTTTTGGTGTGTAGGTAGCTGAGAGAGAGAGATGTACATAATTAAATGTAAATTATGCAAATGAGGCCTTTATTTGCATAATTAATGAGGAAATTCTACAATTACAGTGTTTTACATTATACTATGTAACCTATGGCAGGCGGAACTTCAACAGATACTAATTATGCAAATGATGACCTAATTTGCATAATTAATGTGAAAATTCTATGATTTCGTAATGGTGAATGATGAGAATGTCATACTTGGGACATCTGTAAGTTAATCAAAAGTTAACATACATCACGATGCATATATCATGTTAATGCAGAGGTCATTTGAACAATTAAAGAAGAAATTTACATTTACATATCAAGATCATATTTCATGGAGGTATGAGATCTCGGAATTCTAGTTTTCTTATAAAACTACATATGTACATGTGTTATACTTTTAAGTAATCGACGAAAGCCTTGTATACGAAATCATTTTGAAATCATTACGAAATCATCCTCAAATGATTACGAAATCATTTACGAAATTCGTAATCATTTTGGAGATGATTTCGTAATGATTTCGTATACAAGACTTTCATTGATTGCTAAAAGAAATCGAGAAATCCGCCATTATATACATGGTTGACAATTTGCCAGAGAGTTGCCTAGGTCCATGGCCGGCTAACTTCTATGTAGACATACAATATATATTCTATAGAATGATGTGCTACTTCAGCCTACACTGTATAATGTATTGTCGATAACTTATGAATCAATTGTATATTTTTGTCCCACCCTTCCCCCCGATTATAAAACGGGTGACCCCCTGTCCTATCTAGATCTATAAAACCTTGGGCGTGGGTTTTCTAGATCTGTAACGGCTGACACGCGATTTTCAGGATGCCCCAAGGCGAGGGTGTCACATTATTTTGAAAGGTCAACCAAGATGGCGGGGTTGAACATGTTGGTTTGCATCGCAGCCCTCATGTTACTGGGGCTCTCATTCGCTGCTGAGCCTTCGTCGGGGCGCACGGAGCCGTCTGCACCACCCAGAGAGCCCGAGACGGCGGAGACTGGGGGTAGGGAAGCTTCCAAACACTTGGATGGTAGCCTTCCTGCGATTTGCCAAACTGGGAGGGTGGGGGGTGACTGTGTAGTCTATTGTAATAGAGCCAACACAATCTGGGATATTGTAATGTCTGAACCTTATATTATATGCTATAATGTTTTCATCAAATGCTTGATTGCCGTATGTACATTGATAGATGTATGCCCCCAAGTTTATATTATTTGCCCTGTATTGTACTCATGAGTCATTACTGTAACAGCATGTGTGGTATAAGAAATACATGCACTGTCGAGTTAAAACCGCTAAGCCACAGATTCACATTTGTACTTTATATAGTGCAAATCAGGACGGACAATATATGCTTATTGAGGAGTATAATAATATATAGCTTGTCATACCTGACGCAAAACTGTGCAGTACTTGGTGTGATCCTGTGGTGTACCAGTCTGCAGTTCCTTCATAAACCAATATGTGGCGCGTTTACGAGATGCAGTACCTGCATTTCATGCGTTTATACTAGTATTACGCTACGTCTTTGATTTCAATACATCTACTTGTCATGACAGTTGATAGTGTCTGTTCTCTCATATATGGCACTTAATTTATTGAAGTTAAAGATCCTTCCTTCATCACGTGGTGCATAGGGCGGCGCCTATCTCCGGTTCAGTAGCCCTTGGGCCACACAGCTGTACAATCACTACAGCAGGGTGCTAGTCCACTGGTAGTGGTGTGTTTAACTCCCATACTTTTTCCCAAATGCTGAGTGCTAAGCAAAAAAAGCAGTATGTACCATTTTTAAAGTTTGGTATGACTCGGCCGGGGATCGAACTCACGGCCTACCGAATGCGAACACTCTATCCACTTGGCCATTGCACCGGTAGAATTTATTGAAACCAAACAAAAATACGCTGTGCTGTTTGGACGAAATTCACAATGTTACTGCTGGCTTGACAATATGTGCGGTTGAGACTAGAATTTTTTTTAAAGCAAAGTGCTAGAATTCTTTCTTTTTTTCAGGAAAACCTTCCAGCGCTAAAGGGGGAGACCAGGCGGAGACTGAGCCGGCTAACTGGTGCAGGGAGGCCGTGCAGACTGTGGGGGCTGTGGTCGGGGCTGGGGTGACAGCGTCTGTCGCCAAAACGATGGCAATCATGGGAGACAAGTGAGTCCAATTTCCTCAAATTGGAAAGGCATCCAGTGCAGTTTTTAGGGCTTGGAAACCAGATTTTTCAAACTCAGTATTCTAGTCATTTATCTACATCATTATCTACATATCTACATCTACTACATACAAGTTGAAACAACACTGCCCCAATGTATATCCACATTCATGGAGCAAAACAATTTGGTGAAAAAGGGTTACTTGGATGTACTGCTTGAGTTTCTAGCGTTCACCAAAGAAATATGTTTCGATGTTCTGTAAAAAGAATCGAATTAAATGCAGTTAAAAAGTTTTTTTTTATGTTTACCAAAGAGAAACATATTGTTTTTCTCTGTTTCCTCTTCTCCTCCAAACCAATGTCAATGACCTGCGCCAGACGTCTGTCACCATGGTAACTAGCGTTGGGTTACCCCATGTTACAATTTTATAGCAGGAGGGATTTAGACTACTGTCTGATCATATATATGAATGTGTTTGAGTAAGAATTAACAGAGAAGATCACATACGAAGGTAAACACTATGCATTTGCTTTGTAAATGTTACCTTTTCATATTATATGGTCAGACAGGAGTCTAAATCCCTCATGCTGTAAAATTGCAACATTCTGTAACCCAACACTTCTTACCATGGTGACAGACGGCTGGTTCAGGTCCTTGACTTAGTTTCTTTGGAATTTTTATTCTGTACTTCACACAGACTAGGGTTTGGCGGGCCGGTAGCTGGGATGCTGTCGTGGTTCGGTAAGGGACCCAATGTTTACGCCACCTCGGCTGCAGGCGCTGCCATTGGCTACATCACTACTGTTGGAGGGAGGGTCTGCGAATTCTACGAACAACACCAGGAGTTCATAGACAACATTATTAACGCCGTGAAAGGTCAAGGCCAATCGTAAAATCTTTGTTTTCCACTAGCTCAAGTGCCTAGTTAGTTTCTTGTTGGTTAGTTGTCAAAATTCTCAGTGTTTTCATTGTTACACAGACACTCGACATGTTGTTCAGTAATCAAAACAGTCCACGGATCTATGCAATAACCTCAGTTTCCGCATACATTTAGTTATGACTTAAGCGCTTTTTTATCTTGAAAATCAACAGTTTGCATCAGGCAAATATAAATCATTGCCAATAATGTATAAGGTGGTAGCTATCCAACTGTTTTATGGCTTCACCACTCCATTTGTGCGGGAGATATGTCCATTTTTTGTACGGCGGATGTGGTGAAGCCATGCTGCATTTGCTCCTGAACAAATGTCGGCCTTTCTAGTTTCCTTGTTTGATTTCCTTTCCAAAACTAGCTTCTGCTATGAGCATAGAAGTTTAAAAACAGGATATGACATTGCTGTTGCGCTGGGTTTGTAAGGATAGAAAGCAGATAGGTTTGTGGCAGTGTAACGCATTATAATGTAAACCATGTACGTTCAAAGTACACGTATGTGTGTTTAGAAAATGCAAGGCTTAGATTGGGATTAATGACATAGAATACATGCAGAAATGCGTTGTGTATTAAAGACATATTCGTTTAAATACATATGCTCAAACATACTCTCATTTGCTACAAACCATGCATCATTGAAGAATAAAGAGTGGGTGTGTTTAAGGCCAAGCTTTGAATACGTCAGAAATGCGTTATTTCTTTCTAATTTCCTTGGTAGTGGTAACTAATTAACTTTGACAGCAAGGTAAAACATTTTAAAAGAAGTTCAACGTTTTTCTAATCACATTTTGCAGCAAGAAACAACTTTAAGATTACTCTAAATATATCAGTGTTGCCTCAGAGTGTTCGCTAGGTGCATGAGCGCGAAACTCTACAAGCTGATATATTTCGACAATAAATCAAGCCATCAGGAGCCTCTTGACCCCGTCACACTGCGCGTTTTTAGCGTGACCTTTGTGGACCTTTTTACCGATGACGTGACGCGGTCTGGTGCCATCGTGAGCCTCTAGCCAGTCGTCGGCGCCCCTCTTCAGTAACTCCCGCACCGTCAGCGAGTTACACTCGGTGGCGGCCACGTGCAGGGGCGTGAGGCCGAAGATCTCGTCCCTGGCGTTGACGTTTCCGCCAGCTTTGGCGAGGAGGCTGACCATGTTGGGGGTCTTCTGTGCGGCCAGATGGAGGGGGGTTAGACCGCCACTGTCCGACTTCGTGTTGGGGTTAGCATTGCCTTTCTGTGAATGATAGAGAGGAGTAACATAACAATATTAGGTATCATAATCATATCGCAGTATAAACGGATACTGTTCTTCAGTTACTGATAGTGGATTCTATCTTAACGTCTGACAAAAGTTTCTGCTTGTCACTACGATAAGTAAGAGTGCGTCATTATATAGTTTTTGCTTAGTTTCTTCTTCTTCTCCAAAGAAATAAGGTCAATGACCTGAACCAGACGTCTGTCACCATGGTAACTAGTGTTGGGTTACACCATGTTACAATTTTATAGTAGGGGGGATTTAGACTCCTGTCTGACCATATATATGAAATGTGTTTGAGTAAGAATTAACAGGGCAGACCAAATGTGAAGGTAAACGCAAATGTTAGCTTTCTAATTTATTTTGTATTACGTAATATGCGTCAGTATTACCTCCAAAAGCGCCCGTACGGTCTCCAACTCATCCGCCTTTACAGCCTTCATCAGGGGAGTCCAGCCGTCACGTGACTGGAGCTCTGGGTCCGCGCCATATTCCACCAGATTGGCTGTATAATGAATAGTGAATATAACTATCAGAAAAATCATCTTGAAACATAAATGCAGTTACAGAGACTGTGCGACTCTAAACCAAGTAAAGTTCTTCTTATATACTTCGAATATTGAAATATTGAACGATTGCCAGAAAATTCTGCGGAAAACAACGATCACGTGGTGATCACGTGTTTGAATCCCACTCTCATTGGTCGAATCTACGTACTGATAAGGGCGGCGAGTCCATTGGTCGCTGCCTCGTGTATGGCCGCCTCTCCGTTGAGGTTGAACGACCAATGGCTGGCTCCGTCGGACAACAACAACATGGCCACGTCTTCCTTTTTGTTTCTATAAACAAACACAATTGTCAGACTTTAAAATTTCTCTCCAAAACCAGAAAAGTGTCACTGATGTGGTTTATATTAGTTATTACATGAAAGTTAAAAGAGGACTGGATGAAGTATTAAGTACAACTAGAGATTGTTACGATTTTGCCTCCCTATATCTGCTTGGAGATTAACAATTCGTTCCCAACTATGAAAGCAGCAAAGTGTATATTGACGAAACAACACAGCAAGAAGGGACATTCGTAAGGCATTCTGATGCGGTCATTCAAGCACATGTTCTGACGTCATAACATTGGCGTCATAAATGATTCGTTCTTTTCGTAAGTATGAAAGCAGCTAAACGTGTAAATAAATTGATGCAAAGCACTGTAAGAATCAACGTTCTTTATGCATTATGATGCGGTCATTCAAGGAAACGGTCTGACGTCATGTACGTACTACTAGTATTCCTTACGAAGGCCCACAACGCGGTGTGTCAGGGCTGTGGAAGAGGTGTATGGAAGTGTCGTTGTGGGCCTTCGTAATTCCTTACCTGATTGCCAGCATAAGAGCAGTGTCTCCCTGGCTGTCTTGTTTGTTGATGTCGATGTCCTTGGGAGCCAATAGTCTCATCAGCCGACTGACGTCACCTTTGATAGCTGCCGCGTGAAGAGGGGTGCGTCCTCCGATCTAAAAAATAATAATTTTAAATATAAAACTAGAAAGGTAACATTTGCAAAGCAAATGCATAATGTTTACCTTCACATATGGTCTGCTCTGTTAATTCTTGCACATTCATATATATGGTGACGGGAGTCTAAATCCCTCCTGCTATAAAATTGCAACATGATGTAACCCAACACTAGTTACCATGGTGACAGACGTCTGGTTCAGGTCATTTACCTTATTGGTTTGGAGAAGAAGACGAAGAAGAGGAAACAGAGCAAAAACAATGTTTTCCTTCGGTAAACATAATAATAAAATAATAATCGGCTATCCACATGTATGTGATTGACGTTTTAGTCTTTGAAATAAGTTCCTCCTAACTAAATGAACATTGAAACTGTAAAGCATATGAAGAAAGGTAAAAGATGCAGGATAACAGGTAACACTATTAAAAGTTCATGATGCTACGTTCCGTAATGATATTTCATATTTTGTGATACTTGTTGAAAATTATGATACTGAAAACACACAGATGGACCGCCTATGTATAAGAATTTAAGAGAACTGACTACGCTTTACGAAGAAACATCGCTATCTCACTACGTGTACTAGTAGTGTATAAGTAGTGTATACAGGAATTCAAATTACCGTGGTAGCTTTTTCAGCCTTCTGTATGTAGTGGTTACATGTGGAATACAACACCAAGGCCAGACAGCATGTCACTGTTACTATGATGATAGGCAGGTTAGTTTCCTCTTCAAGCTGGCGCTCGGACTGTTGTGGACGAGTTTCCTTCTTTTCCTTGGTTTCATCTTTTACATCTTCACGAGACTTTCGCTTACGTCGGCGTAAAGTGCTGCTGGGAGGTTCAGCTGCAGTGCTGTTACCTTCCGCTAGGAGCGCTGGTGTATCGATAGATGTCAGTGTGTCGCCGCTGTCTTCTTTCTTCTGGGACTTGACCTTGGAGCCGCCATCTTGTTTTTTCTCGCGGTCTTCTTTTTCTGACTCAGAGCTGTCGCTAGTTTCGCTCTCGTCTGTTTCCGTTTCTCCCTCAGACGTGTAGCTTTCCTCAGAATCAGTGTCTTCTTCGTCAGTACTTTCCTCAACTTCTCGCGAAGACTTCCTTTTACGTGACTTTGAACCTCCCTCGTCTTTTTCAACTTCGTTCACAACCTCGACCGTTGGCTTGTCCTTTTCTGATGCTTGTGGCATCCCCGCGTCTGCCTCACCAAATTTACCGTCATGGTCGCCACTTTCGGCTGGCAAAGTCTCGGCAGTAACGGTCACAACTTCAAAACTCCCGATCCCTTCGTCCTTGGCATCGTCTTCGAGCAACTCCTTCTTGATATGAGATATTTTCTCGTCTCCTTCAGCAAATTTCTCCTCTTTTTTAGTCGCTACGTCAGCATGGCTGCCACCTTCGACAGTCTGGATGAAATCTTGATCCATGTCGCCTGCAAAATTAGAAGTTTCTGCCATGTTTTGCTGAAAACAAAAACAACCGGATCGCCGTTGCCTATCGAACGTTCGAGAACCTGGCGAATCAGCGTTCGAACGAGCGGTCACGTGACGCGTGACGTCACACGGGGGTCATTGTTCGCGAATAACCTTTTTCTGTTTTGTTTACTTTTGCTTGTTGTCTAGTTCGTTGATACGCACATCGTTCCACGGAGGAACTAACATTCTCTCGCAACGGTTACTCTTGTAAATGACGCCAAGGTGTAAACTTGGCGATATTTCTTGAGAAAACATCATCTTTTCTTTCCTGCCAAGAGAAGATTCGTAGACGTATAAGATGGCGATGGCTGGCGGAGACGCAGCAAACCAGTGCCAGTGCGAAATCCACGTCAACTGGGCAAAGTGGTACAAGGGCTTCATGCACCAGGTTTTTCTTCACACCAAGATGGAAATGAAAAAGGTCCTGGACAGAAAGAAAACCAGCGAAGTCAGAGAGCCGGACGGAGAGCTTTCAATAACCGTACTGGTAAGTCAGACCAACTCCCGTATCCAGTTCACCATGGATTTGACTGAAGACGCGAAAGAGCTGAAGAAATCTAACATCAAAGACTTGCAAGAGCTTAAGAAGAGGATTGTACAAGTGATTAAGTACAGGATACGGGCTTTTCATTATCAGGATTTCTACGACGTAGCTCCGATGTTGGTCCCTAAAATCATGGCTGAAGGGAAGGGAGGTTCGCTTGAAAGCGTCGTTGATTTCGCGAACTTTAACTTCGGCAACATTCCGGGCACGAAGGTGGCCATCATGCAGCGCCCCGTAGCGGAAGGGAAGATAACTGCACTCAAGAAGACCCTCTTTGACAAATGGGGTTTGACCGGGAAGCTAGCGTTCCTCCTGGCTTCGTACAACATGTACCGCCTGTGGACGAAGGGGGAAAAGCAGTTTGGATTGAACGAGCTTTTTGAGACCGTTAAAGATGGGGTCTACAAAGTTAAACTGGGGGAAAAAGACAAATCGCTTGCCGCTGCTACCCTGTTCACCATGGCCAGGTTCATGGAGGATCTAGATGTAGACGGGGACCTTGTGATTGTGATTCCTGTACCCTCAGTTTTGCTAGTTACCGGGTCGCGCAACTACGATGGGTTGTGTTACATGGGGGAGCATGTACTCTCCCTAGCTCGAAACAAGGACCTCATCACTAGGAAGCCCATTCGGATAGCTCACGCGGGCGAGGGGAAAGCGCACGGCCCGATGTACTCCTCGTACCGCCCGCTGCTGCCGAATGGAGAGGGGTCGGTACCGGAAAATGCGGAGCAGCTGAAAATTCTGACCGACGGGTTGTCGAGACGTGCTCGGGCGACCAAGCTTGCTGCTGCGAGCACTTCGGAGAGTGCTCCGGCAAGAGAGACTCCAGTACCTCAGGTTTGTGAAGGAGACTCACAGAAAAACCTTCCGCCACCGCCGCCTTCGTCGCCATGCTGCACAGAAAAGACGACGCAAGAAACCATCACTGCTGTCCGGCTTGAAAATGTTCGCAAAGAGCTCGACGGGATTCGTGGGGAAAATACAGCCAGTCCCATACCCACGGAGAAACAACGGCGCCCCGTAACTGAAAACAGCACCAAAGCAAATACAGCTGTGACTGTACAACATGAGACTCAGAAGCAAACACAAGGCGTGACTCAGAAGCAAACGCAAGACGTGACTCAAAAGCAGACTGTACAAGAGACTCAGAAGCAAACACAAGACGTGACACAGAAGCAAACTCAAGACGTGACTCAGAAACAAACTGTACAACAAGAGACTCAGAAGCAAACACAAGACGTGACTCAGAAGCAAACACAAGACGTGACTCAGAAGCAAACACAAGACGTGACTCAGAAGCAAACACAGGACGTGACTCAGAAGAAAACACAAGTAACTGACTGTGAACAGACTGTGAAACAAAAGGTGGATGTTGTGACTGCCGTTCCCATAGCGACTAAGTCATCAATCACAACTAAAGCGGAAACCTCGGAGACTAGTTCTGGGAACGATGCTCTCGTTCTCCCTTCAAAAGCGCCACCAGGCGGTCCAAATGAAGTTGCAGTGACTCAACCTCAACAAAAACAAGATGGCGGCGGGACTGCTGTCAATCAGGGCAAAGGTCAGGGTGACGTCATTGCGATTTGCCAACCACCAACGAAAACCACGCCTCCACCAGTCTCTACTACAAGCAAGGCTGATGAAAGTAGAGTGCCTACAACGTCGGGTCCTAGCGGAACCACGCCGTCAAAGGTGATAGTTGCCACTACCGTCATTTATTCGAAGTGTTGTTCATTAAGGATTCCTGTGACTATCACAGCTACAAATACACGGCTTCCACCTGATACAAAAACCACCACTCAAGTCGCGACAGCGGCTAGCCCCTCAAAGACATCATCATTGGCCATCTCAGTGCACCATGACAAGACGTCACCCTCTACTACTCAAGCACAAGCTACTGTGACATCCAAGCAAACAGTCCAACCCTCAGACGGAACGGTAAAGCCAGCTGAAGAACAAATGCCGGGTCCAAAACAAACAAAGGCTCCTGCTCCAACTGAGTTGCTTTCAACACCAGCAAAGCAGATCCTTACCAATCAGTCTCTCAAACCAGCGCTAGGACACGTGCAATCAAATGCCGTTGTTGGAAAGCAAGATCACCTTGAAAACACTACAAAGCGTTCAGTGGACAGCCGTGTCGACGCAAAGTGTTTGAAAGAGCGTTCAGCAATGCAACAGCAGTTGCCTTCTCCCAATACTACTATTGTTCCTGTTGCCAGCTCGGCCACACTTCATGGGGTGACACGCGGTGTTTCTGAATCAGCATCGCTGAAGCTGCAACAGACTGATGGAGAAGTGGTCACAAATTCACTGACGTCTTCTGCTGAAGAAAAGGTTGATCAGAAACTAGTTGCAATCCCTCGTCAGCAACCAGATTTAGACAATCCTGTGCCAGTAGCTCAACTGAAGCCAGGCAGTACAAAGACTACGATCTGTTCTAACTTGAATGACACGACTGTGACATCTACTGTAGCTTCGCAGGTGACGCCTGCACCTGAGAAAACAGTGGCGGCCCCTGGAGCACCTGAAAAGATTGCCCCGTCTACCAAGTTGCAGACTGCACCTGTTAAACCAGCTGTTTCAACCGATGTCAACCGAGTGTCGTCGCCCCAGGTTCAAACTACAGTACCGAAAAAGGCAGCTGTGTATACCCAGGTGCCATCAGCAGCTGTTAAACCATTGACGACGTCTTCCCAGGTGCAACAGGCAGCTGTAAAATCAGCTGTCTCGGCACAGATGCAGTCTACAGCTGTCAGCTCAACGACGCCATTCCAGATGCAAGAGGCTGCAGCAAAGTCACCTGGAGCCAGCCAAGCAGAATCTACATCTGGCAAGAGTCAGATGTCTTCTCAAAAGCAACCAGCAGCTCTAAAGATGGCTGCAAATTTACAAATACAGCCTGTAGCTGCTAAAACCGCCAAGCCTTTGCCTGTACAGCCGTCGAGTGCCCCAACCCCGACGGTGTCTCAGCCGGGAGCCCCTAAACAAGTGCCTCCTTTGCAAGTGCAGACTGACATTCCGAAGCCAAGCACTACATCACAGGTACAACCAACAGTCACAAAAGCTGTGACTAGTACTCCCGCAGCAAAGCAGGCAGGTTTTGACTCTTCTACTGCATCAACCAATAAGAATCCCATTGTGCTGATGACACCTGCTACGTCGTCTGCTATTCAGTCACCTGTCGTCCAACAGATGACGTCAGCTCATGCCATAAACCTAGATCCCAAAACGGTGGCATCCAAAACGATGCCATCCTCTGTTTCTGAACAAAGTGCTCGTGAACAGGAGCTATCTTCCCCCTCTTGTCCTGTGACCTTACCCCACACTACTGTTAGACCGCCTGTGCCTGTCCAGATGCAGACGACAGCTTCGAAGCAAGACTCTTCTTTCTGCCTTCAGTCTACCGTTCCCAAGTCGTTGTCTTCTTCAGTTCAGTCATCATGTCCTACCACCAGGACATCGCTTCAAGCGAAGACTACAGTGGTGCCCTCTGTGGAGTCCATGCCTTTAAAACACAGCAAAGCTCCACAGACGCAGCTGGTGGCAACAACGTCAGTCACAGAAACTGATGACGCAGCTCATAAACAAGTGACGTCAGCACAAACGCCGTCTGTTGTTCCCAAACATGCAACGAAATCTGAGCCTGAATCTTACAAAATGGCCGCCTCTATTCCTCTGCAAAAACCAGCATTAAAACAGACAGTCAAAAAGGTTAGCCCACCTGCTTTACCGTCCAAGCCTTCCATATCGTTTGGAGGAAAAGATGCGCCAAAATTGGTAGAATCATCTGAAGCAAAGGTGTCAAATGATGTGCATTTCCCAAAGCCAAACGCAGCCAATCAGCAAGCAGCTACGGCGCTACCTCATACTATTAAACAGCCAATAGGAGATGTGGTTACTCATGGCTCTCAAAGCCAATGGCAAGATGCTGACGTCATGGCGAAATCGTCCGATACAGTGACACCTCCTGCGAAAAAGTTGTCTGTCAGGATGGTGCCGTATGTTGCACCACCTCCAAGGGGCTTGCAAGGACCGACTATAGAGACGTTGGCGACCTCAGAGAAACAACAGCAATCCGTCGTGCCAAAACCTGCAACATCTGACTACGAGTCTTCGGATTTCGGTGATAAAAAGCCAACTGCCAAAACTCCGTCTTCATCTACTTCTGCTGAAGCCGAGAGAAAAACTACGATTTCCACTAAGACGGCATCCCCAACAGACTTCAGTTTAAAACCTGCCAATGAGGCAACGGTTTCGTCTAAGGTAGTCTCCGCACCAGAGGCGTCACCAAAAACATCAGCACCCCTTGCAGTTCCGAAGCCAACCGCTACAGCATTACCGGCGCCACAAGAGTCTCTAGGCCAGAACGTCAAGACTAAAATGGACGCTTCAAACAACATAGTTCCAACAGAGCGAACAACTGTGCCTTCTAGTGAGAAACCTGGTGCTACAAATGCACTTTCTCCTGAAACAGGGAGGAATGCTCTTTCAGTTAAGATGGTGCCGTACAAGCCTCTCAAGATGGCGCCATACACACCTCCCGCGCAAAACAGTACAAGTCAATCAGCGCCCCCTTGCGACAACCTTGAGCGTGACAAGAAGTGTCAGTCCCCAACGGAAGAGGTCAAACAGGTTACACAGCAGCACCCGATACAGGAGAAGTCTTCTTCGAAATCTGATCACGATTTGGCTAAGAATGAAACCGCCGTGAATACAAAAATTCAAATTCCTCCAGATGTCAAAAAGGAGAAAAATGGGTCATTGAATCCAAATGCGCTGACTTTCAACAGTAAGAACACGGTTGATACGGCCTCCATTGTGACTACAAAGCCAAGCGTTGTCACCTCGGTGACAGAAAACCCAGTCAGCACAGCTCAAGAACTACTGGAAAGTACCACTCCGCAGATTCAGCACCAAGGACAGCAGACCACCCAGCAACGCCCTCTAGCTGTTCATAACGGTACTGCCAATAGCAACGGCCTTGTCTGTACTGAGGGGGCGAGACCTAAGGAACAAACGCAGGCATACAACCGTCAAATGCCGCACAGAAATGTGTCTGCGAATCAGAGCTGGTGTAACAATGGTGAACAACAACAGGCTCATCAACCAACCTGGGACAGAGATAACTACCCGGATGCAGCTCGTCCCCAGGGGGATTCTAGTACGCAAAGAACAGCAGAAAAAGGCCAAACTACCAAGGGGAAACTGGCAAGTGCCTTCAAGCCTCTTGCTGCAAAATTCCAACAGTTCAAACAATGGAGGAAGAATAAGAATCAACAAAGTGAGGAGCCAAATGGTACTGAAAGTTACAACATAGAATACCAGGTTCAAGAAGGCATGGGAGATGCTCTCAGTCATATTGGCCATTGGAATGATTTTAATGGGAATGCACAGTATCCTGGACAGGTGAACGGTTATGGTGTGCCCCCAGCGGATCAGCCCGGTACTGCACAAGACTGGACCTACGAACAAAGGCAATGGTACCAAGAGCAAGCGCGCTTACGTGACATGAACAGAGAGATGTATGGCGTTACGGATCCAAATGCCTCTGCCCGAATGTCCGGTCAAGCGTACAGTGGTCAAGGCTGGAATGACAATAGCCACTACGGACAACGCAATGTGGTCAACCCAGTTATCAAGACAAAGACAACACGTCAAGAAGTGCCACAACAGCAGCAGTGGTCCCAGGGTGCGCCACCTAGCGACTACCAAAGGTACGGCAACACAGGTGCCGCTAACCAGCAAGTACAAAGCGGCTACAATGCCTCTATAGATGGTAACACTTTCAACAAAGCCACATGGAGGAACTACAGAGGTAGAAATGCCAGTGAGCCAAATCGTAGTCACACACAAAATAATCAACGGTACGACAGAATGAGTCAGAATTCCGACCAAGACATGTCCGCAAGGGATGCCCAGAGGCCGACGAACAACAACGCACGTTCGGGAGAACCCGGAGTACGTCGGAGCGCGAGCTTCTCACGATCCGGGCCGAGAGCTCGCGGGAAGACGCCGAAGGGAAGTTCGGCGGTTTACGGTGAACCAGCGGTACAGCAGCCAGAGATGCAAACGTGGATAGGCGGAGGGAGGGTGACTAACCTTCCGACGGGCACCGCTCCCCCTACACCGCCCAGATACTACAGAAACAGAGCCAACTCATACGCGCAAAGTCGTCCTTACCAAACACAACCAAAACCAGTCGAGGAAAACAAACCCAAACCATCTCCCACAAAACCAACAGCAAAGAAGTCCAAACCTACCCCCCAACCTGAGAGGGGAAGGACGAATACACTAACAAAGGGTGCTCATTCCAGACAAGCAACCGACACAGTACCACAGTTTACAAACTATGAGAAGCCCACTCAAAAACTTGACACAAGCACCCGACCAAAAACACCCAATCCAAAAAGTGACCCTCCAAGCAAGGAGAGCACCACCAAACCTGAACAGACAGAAAGTGAGAAACATGAGGAAGTAGTAGATGAGGAAGAGGAGAGGAAAGCTCTGAAGGCTCGGCGGAGGCTGCTGACTCGAAAGCCGTCAGACGCACAGAAGAGCCGTCCGGCCAAGATCCCACGGATTCCAGTCTTCTTGGGGGCAATAGAAGCAGGTACACACTTTGACTTTTTTTAAAGAGTTTTTAACCTAAATCAGACATCTGTTACCATGGTGGTGTTGGGTTACATCATGTTGCAATTTTATAGCAAGGGGGATTTAGACTCTGTCTGACCATATATATGAATGTGTTTGAGTACGAATTAACAGAGCAGACCACATGCGAAGGTAAAGATTATGTGCTTTGCTAATGTTACCTTTCTAGTTTTATTTGATTTTCTGGTCTTTACAGTGTTCTAATGTTAACACCTATAATACATGCATGAAGCAAGTGTAATATCCAACACAACAAATTGGACTCACCCAAATTTTCGACTGTACAACTCCAGTCTTTGTCAAGGAAAGAGCAATCCACCGATTCCGTGACGTCACGCAGATAACACTCCTGACTCCGTGAGCAGTGGATCATAGGTTGCAGAAAGTCTGTGGCGCCCCCAGTCTCTGTTTGCACCTATACATGTATTGTGCAAATATTGTCACCATGTAACATCAATAAAAAGCGGCCAGCGTGCCATTTTGAACTTCTCATGTATAAAGAAAGATGTTCAAACAAACAATCTTTTTCTCACCTGTGGTTGTTTTTACACCTGTTTTGATAGGTGTCCGTGAGGAGGCTTGGAACAGGGCACTTGTGACAGCTGAGGAGGATCCTCTGGTGGGCACGAGTCTGTGTGTCCAGCTCTGTTTCTACTGCGGGGTGGTGGGATCGTGGAACGAGGACGTCGTGCTCAAAAAATGCAGCAGGTATATTTGATTTGATCTGATTTATTGGAATTGCAACAGTGCAATACACGCAGAACAGAGGCAGCTGTTGCTGGTGTTGTGTCCCGCACATAGAAACGAATACAGGACAGACAATACTCATTTTCACTTGAGTCTAGTGGGGAAAGTCGTGTAAATTGCCTTTCCCAAGGGCACAAGATCGGTGGCATGTCAGGACTTGAACCCAGGACCTCTTGATTCCGAGTCGCGCGTGCTGCCGTTGTGCCACACGACCTCACCAAGTCCCCAGCATAGACAGTTTTCTTACTGTTATCTTTGCCAAGACCGGTGCAATGGCCAAGTGGGTAGAGTGCTCGCTTGCCTTGCATTCGGTAGGTCGTGAGTTTGATCCCCGACTGAGTCATACCAAAGACTACATGCATGTAAATGGTACATACTGCTTTCTTTCTCCTCAAATGTAAAGCCCCCTTGTGTCATTCTTTGGTATTGCAGCAGATATTTTTGCTAACTGTATCCTTTCATTTTTACCCCTCATCTTGACCAGGTGTGGCACAGCGAGTTACTGTTCCAGGAAGTGCCAGTGGAACCACTGGAACCACCACAAGTCCAAGTGCAGGAACCTGACAACTGACCACCAGAAGTTCAAGGTCATCATCCAGCTGTAGAGGTCATGGTCAAGTCACACCAAGGAGGCTGATTACTGTGCACATGAAGGGCTGTTGAATAATAGACCAATCCCGAATGTCCATCACAATTAGAAGTTCAACCAATGAGAGAATGGCAATTAACGGTTCAACCAATGAGGGATTGGCAATTAACGGTTTGACCAATGAGAGAGCGGCTGCATGTCAAATACATGTATTTGCATTTCTATGTTTTGAAGGAGGTGGGCGGGGCTTCAGGATCGGTCTATTGTGTAAAAAGAAACAAGTGCAGTGATAGCTTCTTCAGCCTTTGAATATCTTAAAAGAAGTCAAAAAGCTGTAGCTTTGACCAATCTAACAACCTGTTTGTTGATACTGACATGGATTTCCTACACGTTTTCTAAAGCGTTCTGATCACCAAACTGTGCACTTCTGTAATGCTGCTTCAAGTTGCAAGGTGGCGTTTTTGGATCACCGCTTCTGTATCTTACATCAGAGAGTATTGGGGTTTTGCTTGGCAAGAGGGGAAGTAATGACGTTACTGTTGAAACCTTATGTGTTATGTTGCCTATGTTTGTGAGATACATGCCAAGGGCTGTATGCAATTCATCACAAAGTCACAAGGAGGCACTGGTAACACACATACTGTTTTCAATGAAATGAAATATTTCTTTTATTGGTGTATTCACCTGAAGTGGGCTCAAGTGAACATTCAAACCAGAGTTTTATATCTAAAATGATGAATGAACTGTTGTGTTTTACAGTGAATCTTTCTATTCACCTGAACTTTGAAATAAAGAGTTTTACTCCCAGTTTAAATCATTGTCATTTCTTCTATTAAGAATTACACAACTTGTATCTCTATAGCCCAATTGTTTCTAGATATCACAATGACTATACATTAACCATACGTATGGAGCATCTATGAGAAGACTGTAATGCAACAATAATGAGTCTGAATCAACATTTCTAAATGATCAGACTAAGTATGTAGACATACATGTGTATAACTAAAAATGAGAAATCTTACATAAGTTCTTTTAATTACATATTTTCAAAATCTCATTTTCTTCTACCTTAAGGAAACAGTATACATGTATGGACGAAAATTTCATTCTAAAAAGCAAAATTAATCATAGAAAGCAGAGCTAAAAACTTAGAGGAAAGAAACATTTGTAATTATAGCTTTAACTTCTAACGTAACCAAAACATGCTTGTTGCTTCATAAAAATTGTCTATGCAGGGCTGTATTCAGTTGTTTTGCTCCTGTGTATCTGTTTGGCCATCTTGTTGTTCTGTCTCTGTGACCTCTGACCCTGTGACCTCTGACCCAGTGACCTCTGATCCAGTGACCTCTGACCCAGTGAACTCTGACATTTGGGTCACATCTTGCCTGGTGACATCAATAGATTCCGCTATAAAAAAAAGATATACAAAATATTCAAAACTGGCTAAGACTCAGTAAGAGACTACATGTATTTAGGGAAGCAAATCACACAAGAAATTGGACTTACCCAAATTTTCCACTGTCAAACTCCAGTCTTTGTCAAGGAATGAGCAATCCACCGCTTCCGTGACATCACACAGATAACACTCATGACTCCATGAGCAGTGGAACATAGGTTGCAGAGAGTCTATGGCGCCCCCCGTCTCTGTTGAGGGATGGTTGTAATGCCCTGATGTAGATGGCCTCTTTAACCCCTCATTGCTCATTCCTTGACAAAGACTGGAGTTGTACAGTAAAAAATTTGCGTAAGTCCAACTTCTTGTGTCGGCAATGGAACTATCACATTATTACGTCACAGTCTGTTTACCTGTTCTAAAGAACATTCTAGAATGATCAGTTAAAAAATAAATATCATTTCAAAGTTTTTTAAGTAAGGTATGTTTGATTTTTGCTACGTCTAGTTGTGTTGACACAGCATTACATGCCGTAATGGGTGATTTAGTTAGTTGTGACATTTGACGAAAGTAGTTCTGTATTAGAAGCCATGGCTAACGCTACACAAACACATACCGCGCTACGCACCCCTGTACATTATAAACGTCGATTGACCGGCATTCACTGCATGCGGTAAACAAACTGTGACGTAATAATGTGATAGGTCCATTGCAGTTCAAACTTGTCTCATAACAAACAACACAGTACCTTGACTGTCAGTTCCCTCCGTATCTGTAGTAACACTGTCTGACTCTTCTTCTTCCTCCTCCTCCTCTTCTTCTGCTTCTACTCCCACCTCACTAAACAAGGAAAAATGTCATGTTAATAGCTTGTCAAGTTGAAACTAAGTTCAGTTTTACTCTCATTTTCTGTATGCTCATTCAAAAACAAAATTAACTAGAGAAGTAACATTTGCAAAGCAAATGCATAATGTTTACCTTCGGACATGGTCTGTTCTGTTAATTCTTACTCAAACACATTCACATACATGTACTACTAGTATATGGTGACAGAAGCAGAGCAGACCATGAAATTGCAACATTATGTAACCCAACACCAGTCACCATGGTGACAGACGTCAACAAATCATGTCATTGGTCAGATCATGGAGGTAGAAAAGAGGTCACTGTTTGGAGAAGAAGAAGAGGAAAAAACTGAGCAAAAACAATATGTTTTCCTTTGGTAAACATAAATATTTGTCATATTCAGGATTTGCACGCACACACACACAGTCACAAACACACACTGAAAAAAACATGTACACACAAACAATTACACATTCAAATCTAAAACATTAATGAAACACTTAAAGGGCTGCATTTGTATGTCTTATTGCCCTGTAAGACCTACCCCACGTCATCCATTGGTCCCAAGAAGTTGTCAAGTTCACTCTGGTCCATGATGTCATCCAAGGTCAAGGCTGACAGCTCTTCTGTGTTGCTTGTTGTTTCTGCTGAGGCACCACTAATGGAAAAAACACACGAGTCAACAGTGAGAATAATATGTAAGTTTTGTAGCTCCCTAATATAACAGTAATTAACACCACCTCAACAAATAATTGTGATTATGAGAAACTTAAAACTGTACTGCCAGTGCAACTCAAAGCTTAACTAAAGTTCCCATGGTGACAGACGCCTGGTCCAGGTCATTGACCTTATTTGTTTGGAAAAGAAGAAGAAGAAGAAACAGAACAAAAACAATATGTTTTCCTTCTATGAAGGTAAACATGAGAATAGTTTAAAGTTTCTTATGATGTAGTTTAACAACTAAGATGAACTTTCATCCTAAGTAAATATAATATTTCATTCATCTTCATACCATTTCTTTTAGAGATCATGCTATGAGATTTTCTGAACATTCATGGAAGGTATTAAAAATTTGAGAGAAAATAACTATTTACCACCCTGGGCCTATCCCGTACATTTGTACGTGTTATGACTACTTACCTTGCATGAGGAAGAGCAGACCGTGCTCCGTACAACTTGTAGTGCTGAAGGTCATCGTTGAAGGCATCTTGGAACATCTTGTGTCTCTCTTTAAGACGCTCCTGCTGGCTGAACTCCATCTCACGTACCTGACGGTCAAACAGTCACATTTTTAAACAAGTAGTTATGTTTTGAAATGATTAGCAGTTTTAAAAAAAGTAATAAAAGTGTACTTTATGAAATCATACATATATTGTGCATAGTGCTGTGTACCAGTTCACTGGATTGGTTCATATATATGGTCATACAGGAGTCTAAATCCCTCCTGCTATAAAATTGCAACATGATATATCACACACATGATGTACCAACACTAGTTACCATGATGACAGACGTCTGGTTCAGGTCATTGACCTTATTGATTGGCGAAGAAGAAGCGAAACAGAGCAAAAACAATATGTTTTTCTTCGGTAAACATAATTATCCTTCACCCCCCCCCCAAGTAATGTACATACCTTACGCAGGTACACCAAGTCTAGTTGTACTTGAAGGTTTTCTCTCTCCAACACTTTGGCCTGGCGGTACGATGCCAGCTTGTTTCTGTGCTCTGATTGGTTGGCCTGCATCTCTTGTTGTTCGCACACGTTCTCTAGTTCGTTCAGAAGGTGTTCCACCTGTTCGAAGTCTGAGGACAGCCCAGCAACCATTTCTGTGAATAGCATTGTCAGCAAGTTACAATTAGTAAGTTACAATTCAACATGTCCCCTGTGTAATGGTACAGTCCAAAAAGTGGTCAGTTATTCTAATAACTGACCACTTTTGAGGTTACGGCCTGATAACCCATGGGAAATGGAGCCTTCTGATTGATCGACTTCTTCAGGCTACATGATAATACATTTGTACGGCATAACAAAGTAAAACTTGCATGAGGACACTTACTAGTACATGTATAGTCGCAATGTCAATGTTGACATTACATAAGTATTATACATTGAATATAAGCTGATTCAGAACCAGAATCTTTTTCTTTCTTTTTTTTTTGGCAAATCAGAAAAAGAAGAAGCAAATCCAAGATCCAACAAGTTAAATTGGTGTGGCTTCAAAAAGTCTTCCTTCCATACAGAGAAGAGCCACACCTGTGATAGAGCTGAGTTCTTGCACCAGCCCAGGAAAAGTCTCCAGTTGTGAGTGTAGTTGAGACAGAGCCCTGGCCTGTCCCTCGTATCTCTCAACCAGCTTCCACACCTCTGTATCCACAGTCTCTCCCACCACTGCTGTCTCCTCTATACTCTTGTGCATGTGCATCCAGGACTCCTTGTACCTGTGTGAGTAGATCATAGATACAGTAACTACTAAGTACCCAGAAAAGAACAAGAAATAGCCATGCCTTCAAGTACCAGAGTTATCAACCAAGGATTGAGGTGTTCAAGAATTCATTCTTTCCTAGCACTATTGCAGAGTTTAACTCGCTGTCACCAAGTACAGTAGGGACATTATCATTAGATAGCTTTAAACAATGTTTAGAGTTAGATATTCAAGGGTTAGGTGTAACAAGTCGTTTGGTGTAATGTAGCCAGCTGCCGCCCCGCCGCCGAAGCTGGTGTGTTACGCTGAAAGGCGGTTATACCGGCTATACAGATACAGAAAGTACGTAAGTTGCTTTCTCTGCTTAACACTCAACACTAAGTATAGTATGAATGAGGAACAGTATGGTAAGTACAATTTGTTGTACTTAAACACACACCAATGGTCCATTACCACTAATGGTTTGTAGGAACGGTAAGATAAGTACAATTTGTTGTACTTGAACACACACCATTACCACTAATGGTTTAGCCCCCTGCTATAGCATTTGTATGTTGTAGCACAGCTGAGTGACAAAGTGTGGACAGGTGTTGAAACGATTTTAAATTTCTCAAACTAAAAAGCAATTCTCTGAAAACATTTATTGTGCTCATAAGACACAGTTTACGAAATAGATGAAACATAAATAAAAAATTTTACCTGTATAGTAGTTCTGCGCCAGCCAAATCCCTTTTCTTTGACCGTTCTCTGGTCAGTCCTGGTTTGCCAACCTCTTTTGCCTTGTCCGTCAGATTTTTCAATCCCGCGGAAAAATCGTGCTGAACGTGCTGAAGTCGCTCTCGGAAATTCCCAAACATTTTGCCCGACATTTTTCTACGCTATCGCTTTGTATTCACAAACAATGAAATGTACAAAAGTAGCAGTCACTTTCCTTTTCAATTGTGACAATTCCAGCAATAAAATATACAAAGAATCTGGTAGAATCCTTCAATGAAACAACTTAGAACATTGCGTCATGATCTTCCTTGTACCAAAAGTAAACCTTGACAGTTCCTTGAGGCATCTTCACGTCTTCAGTGGTCGTCACGAGAAACCAGGCGCCGATTCCGTAGGCGAGACACGGGATCCCAAAGTTTATGATCTTCAGACCTGTGTAGAACTTGTCTTCGAAAGAAAGGTCCTGATATGGCCGTCTGGGGAATAAACAGCAAGAGGCACATAATATTAATTCTTTAACAAACACATTCACATATATGGTGACAGGAGTCTAAATCCCTCCTACTATAAAATTGCAACATAAGAAGCACAAAATTAATTCTTTAACAAGCACATTCACATATATGGTGATTTGGTAATAGGAGTCTAAATCCCTCCTGCTATAAAATTGCACCATGATGTAACCGAACACCAGTTACCATGGTGACAGACGTCTGGTTCAGGTCATTGACCAAGTCAGAGGTCAGTGTTTGGAACGTAAGAAGAAACAGAGCAAAAACAATTATGTTTTCCTTTGTTTTTAAACATAATAATTAATTACAAAATATTTAACCAGAATCATAACAAAAAACTTATTAATAGTAACAACTTATTTATGAATCATGATCATGTTTTATTCTTGACAGACAGAAAAGGATTAATTTCTTGTCCTGTGCACATTATGAACGACGAATAACAATAAAAATAACAATGAAGATTATAATAAGTTTGTGAATATCTAAATAAAAACTGACTTTTTGTGATGCCGACGGCCGATTATTATGTGACACTGTTTTTGAGGTAATTTCTAGTCAAAACTGTAATAATACTCTCAGTAAAACGAACAAGAGATAAAATTTAGATTACTCATTATCTATAGAACTTTTCAGGCAACTCCCTTTGCATAATAATTGTCTTCGTCAGAAGGACTATGAAATTGTCTCGCCGGAGTGTGGGGAACTGCGGATTTTGCGATATAACTCTGGAAGGCATGATTCGACGTCCATGATTTTTGGCAGGCAGATTACCGCTGTTAAGGCCGAAGTCAAGTACAAGTTTTGGCTTCGTGGGGGGTCCGTGCGTCACGTTAGTGCACCTTTTGTGTTTGTGGCTTGTTAGCAAGATAACTCAAGTATTTGTAAAATGTTGATTATAATTCTTGGTGTGGTGCTTACTATTGTCGGGACCAAGGTTAAGTTCGTTACTGAGCTTCGGTGGGGGGTTTCGTTGTGACTACAGGGGGCATTTTGTTAATTTTTCTTGTGAGCAGGATAACTTTGTATGTGTGGATGGAAGTTAATGAAATTTGATAGGCATATTACTGTCGTGGTCTCCAAGATTGAGTTCAAAGATGAGAGTCGTGGAGGTCGTTATGTCCCCGTAATAGGACCTTTTGTGTTTAGAAATCCCCCACCTACATCTGCTTGGAGACAGCCGACAGCTGGATATAGCGGGGAACCCCATAATGGGATGGGATCAAATGACGTTACATTGAGGGATTGTACTATAACTTCAGCAGGGGGAGGATAGGTTGGACATATGTCAGGTTATTTTCTACGGCCACACCAAGTAATTGCTATGGATGACGTCCACTGGAGACCTTAAATCTAATTACCTTAAATTTAAGGCAAGCGCGCAATAAAAACACGAAGGGCCGAAAAACGAGATGCCTAGATTTGGAATATACTAACTGTAGAAGTACAAATGTTAGGACACAAAGAACACAAGAAACAAGTCTTCTATTTGTCATAAAGACAAATTAACAAAACAGCAGTAGTCACCCTGTTCTGATTCTTTCCTTTATAAAATCTTCTCTTATTATATTTTGCGGCGCTGTCGTGACACTTTCAACACAGTAAGAATTTCTTGAACGTTTTTTTTTCCTACGTAACTGTCCAAACTCAAATAACGTAGGGGGGGGGGCTAACACGGGTGACGACGCATCTGTATAATCTGCGGCAAACCGTTTCAGGGTGTTCTGTACCATAAGAATAGTACAGAGATTCTTTTGTTCTTTAGACCAAATTGATTATTAAAAAGATTGAAGAATACGCATGTTAATTTCTCTAGAACGATGTACCTCTGACGAAGACATGAGATCTCCGACCTCTAGTTTTATTTGGGTCACACACTTGTCACGGGACTAACAAACAGTTTTTTTTTTTCATGTTTACAAAACGTTTACTTACCTCGTACAATGATATTTGATATAAGGGAAGCAGCCCGTCCTCAGTATATGGTAGTTCTGCCCGTCCACAGACCAGTTAAAGTGCGACTTGGCGAACTGGTCGTTCCGAACTGAACTGTACTTCACAAAATACGAAGTCCAATGCGGAAGTCCTCTCTGCCTCAGATGCGCACTCAAAACTTCGGAAGCCTTCGGTTTCTTTTGCCGTTTTCTTCGCAATGCGAGCGTCCACAAAGACTTCCTTCCTGGCTTTAACAATACCATGTATTCTTCCAAAACACCTCCTCTTATTTCTCCGCTGTACGGTCTTTAAAAGCCTTGGAAAATGGCAAAAAGTAGAGAAAATTTGAGCAAAATCTTTATTTTTCTACGGGCGCGGCCATCTTGGATTTTCATCAGCCAATCACAGCTCGAGAAATTGTAGCCTCGTTTTGAGAATAAGTGACCTTTGACCTTCTGGCCATCGTGGATTGCATGTCCGGGTGCAAGATTGCAAAAAAAGGGTTGGTTTCTTAAAAAAAAGAGGCTCTTAAGGTATGAAAATACTTTTTCTGTCATCATATATTGACCTGAGAGATATGTAATGGTATCTGGAGTGTGCCAGAACCATAGATAGAGAGTTTAGGGAATGTTTTTGTGGAATATTGTAGTGGAATTGTTGGAATCTAGACTTCATGGCAGCTGTTTAAGCATGGTGTGAAGGGGGTGGGGGGCGAAAAAAGACATATTTTGGGAATTTGGGACAGTAAATTGTACCAGTTATGTTTTATGTTTATGAAAACCTCGACAATATTCAATCACAGCGAAGTGAAGATGTTGTCTTTTGCTGATTTTTGCTTTTGAGCCGCATAAGCAAGAAGGTATGAAATATGATGATTTCAAATTATTTGCAAGCAAATGTAAGTTAAGCCCACATTGAATCATGTGAAAAGTATGATAGCGTCCTATTTGTTTACATTTGGCTTTTGTTTGTTTCGCATAACTGGTAAACAGCCTTTAGGCGTAACACGCCAGTTTTGTACATGTACGTACAAGCTGTGTAAGACCAAACTGTAAGGTTTGAACCACTCACACCAGGAAGGTCCCGTACTCTTTTCAATAAGTGTGGTGGGTTCTTTAACGTGCGTGCGGTGTGGCTCTACGCAAACACGGGACCTCCATTTAACGTCCTATCCGAGGGATGTCTCTAACCAAAGCTAGGTACTCATTTCCACCTGAGTGAAGTGAGGAATTGATGTAAAGTGCCTTTCCTAAGGGCGCAAGATTGGTGACATGGGTAGGATTCGAACCCAGGACCTCTTGGTCCTGAGCCTAACACACTACCATCTACACCACATGACCCCATGGCTGGCATGTACTTGTTGATACCTCCAGAAATAATGGGAAAATCATTTATATATCATCATTTTGTGTTTCCATTTGTAGGACTGGAAGTAGAAGATGCCACCAAAAAAGAAGGGAGAAGAGCCTAAACCACCCCCACTGATCGGGAGAGTTGGTACATCCCTGAAAGTGGGCATTGTGGGATTGCCAAATGTTGGGTGAGTATTTTAAATTTACTTGCATCAAACTGACTAGTATTTCCACTGCATTTAAATTGTAAATGTATTCAACATACAGTGGCAAAGGTAGACCATTTCAGACATGTTTTGCATTAGTTTTAACATATTTTTGATGTGCAAACCTTCTGCTATCACAATTATATGCCAACCATATACATTACTCCAGTACATGTATATATAACAAAAACATTATTTTTTTCCACAGCAAGTCAACTTTCTTCAATGTGCTGACAAAGAGTCAGGCATCGGCCGAGAATTTCCCCTTCTGTACTATAGGTCAGTCACCCAAACAGATAAAACATCTACATTGTAAAACTACATACATGTATATGTGCAGGCTAGAATTTATACTGAATCTAGCATAAGTTGTAAAACATTACTTGAGGTATTCTTAGAAAGTGGCTGCAATGCATGATGATTTTCTCAACATACTATTTTATGATACGGTACATTGTACATGCATTTTAGCCTGGGTGCCATCCAATTTGTAACGACTACCCCGAAAAAAATACATGCAATAAACATAGCAAAAGCACTTGTCATATCAACAAATGTACAGTAGCTCTTTGCATCAGGATACATACAGGAAGACATAATCATTTTTGCCTCACACATATTTCTTCTTTTCCATGTTGGAAACGCTGTCTTACATCCAGACCCAAATGAGAGTAAGTACTTTTTCATATTATGTATTTATGATATCTCTTAGATAATGCTTTTTTTTATTCACAGATAATATTAAACTACGTATGTACTTGAAAATCCTGTATTCTTCAATCATGGTATCATACAGATGATGTTTATCAGTTTGATTTTTCCTCGTATAACTGAAAACATTGTCACTTTCCAGGTAGGGTACCTGTACCTGATGACAGATGGCAATGGTTGTGTGAGTTTCACAAGCCAGCAAGGTACTGTACTAGAAAGATATTGCTATATTTTCCTATATCTATTATTGCACACAGACAGTTTCTATACATATGTAAAATTATTACATTAACTAGAAAGGTAACATTTGCAAGAAAATGCATAATGTTTACCTTCGCATATTGTCCGCTCTGTTAATTCTTACTCAAATACATTCATATATATGGTCAGACAGGAGTCTAAATCCCTCCTGCTATAAAATTGCAACATGATGTAACCCAACACCAGTTACCATGGTGGCAGATGTCTGGTTTAGGTCATTGACCTTATTGATTTGGAGAAGAAGAAGAAACAGAGCAAAAACAATATGTTTTCCTTCTGTAAACATATGTTATTCAGGAATAAAGGCCTTCAGATTATATAATATAGAAGAGACCCCAGACTTACTTTCTCTTTTTGTTTTCTTCCAGCAAAGTGCCAGCCTTCCTATTGGTGACGGACATAGCAGGGTTGGTCAGGGGCGCGCACGAAGGTCAAGGGTTAGGCAACGCCTTCCTGTCGCACATCAAAGCAACGGACGCCATCTTCCATATGACAAGTAAGAACTGCCTGCTGGGAGCATTTGCGCATGTCATTCCTTGCCCTTACTGTCAACAAATGCCTCCGCCACTGAGGTGTTGCCAAAAATCATCAATCTTCATTAGGGATCATTTTTGGCGACACCTCAGGAGTGGAACCATGTGCCTGTAACATTTGTGTAACACAAAATGGTGGAGAAGAGAACTATGGTTAACCTACTGCTAATAATCTCAGAAATCGGTCTGAGCAAAAAGAAATAAGAAGAAATTTGTGGGGTCGTGTGGCGTAACGTCAGAGTGCTCGACTCGGAACCAAGAGGTCCTGGGTTCAAGTCCTGACATGCCACCGATCTTGTGCCCTTTGGAAAGGCATTTTACACGACTTTCCTCACTTAACAGTAAGTTAACTCAAGTGAAAATGAGTATTGTCTGTCCTGTATTTGTTTCTATGTGTGGGACACAACACCAGCAACAGCTGCCTTTATTCCATGTGTATGGTGTTGTTACAACAAGTTAAATAAATCAAATTTACTAAAACCTTCAAAGTAGATAATATTATAACAGCGTGCAAAAAACCTGGTTTCCCAGTTGCCCCGGGCAACCAAATTTTACTTGGGGCAACCTATTTTTGAACCTAGGTAGCCCAGTGTGCTGCCTGAATTTTAAGAATGCCCCCCCCCCCA